CACCCCTATGGCTGTGGCCTTTGTTCAGGAAAACAGTTTAACATGTATATTCCAGTTTGGAAAAGCAAGACAAGAGTATGACGGAGGCTTGCTACCATGCAAGAACCATGTCCTGTTCCGAGAAGAAGCAGAAAAGGCTGGAGGGAGCAGAAACACTACCTCCTGCTAAATGAAGCAATAAGTAGAGCAAGACATCTAGCATAAGCAACTGGCATAGCTCACTGGTGCTGATGCACACATCCTGTACTGAACATTAGATTCTGGCACTGGAAAGGGAAGTAAAGTAAGACCTTGGTTCTTGAACTTAATCTGTTCCAGAAGTCCGTTCCAACTCCCAAAACCATTTGAAAACGAAGGCACAGCTTCTGATTGGCTGCAGGAGCTTCCTGCACTTAAGCTGCGTCAGACATTTCGCTTCTGAAAAACGTTCGCAAACCAGAACACTTACTTCCGGGTTTGCGGCGTTCGGCAACTAAGCCGTTCGAGAACCAAGGTATTACTGTACTGAGCTTGGCAGCTGCAAATGTTTGCTATCTTTATGCCCGCCTGCCCCACTATGAAAATTCTAGTACTGCTTTTACAAAAAGGTTTAAAACCAGGGTGATAACAAAGGTCCGTATAGTTAAAGCTATGGTTTTCCCAGTAGTGATGTATGGGAGTGAGAGCTGGACCACAAAGAAGGCTGATCACCGAAGAATTGATGCTTTCGAATTATGGTGCTGGAAGAGACTCTTGAGAGTCCCATGGACTGCAAGAAGATCAAACCTATCCATCCTGAAGGAAATCAGCCCTGAGTGCTCACTGGAAGGAGAGATCGTGAAGCTGATGCTCCAATACTTTGGCCACCTCATGAGAAGAGAAGACTCCCTGGAAAAGACACTGATGTTGGGAAAGATTGAGAGCACAAGGAGAAGGGGACGACAGAGGACGAGATGGTTGGATAGTGTTCTCGAAGCTACCAGCATGAGTCTGACCAAACTGCGGGAGGCAGTGGAAGACAGGAGTGCCTGGCGTGCTCTGGTCCATGGGGTCACGAAGAGTCGGGACACCACTAAATGACTAAACAACAACAACAAGAACAGGGCTGAAACACTGCATCTAGACCATGTTTGAATTTTGGTCATTTAAAGTTTATGATTTTTTTATTTCCTTCTGAGGAAACTAAATAGTTCAGTGAAACGAGGTTTCTAGCCGGCATCCCGTTAAGGTTTTGTTCTATTTTAGGTTCTTCTAATTTTTTCCCTTAAGCTTTTTGATTTTTATTATTTAGTTGATTTCCACAAGATAATATTTCTAGTCCATTACTTCTCGTTTCAGGGATTTTCACAGTATTTCATTTGTTCTGTGCAATTTCTCAGTTCCGTGACTGCCTTTTTTTCTATTGATTATTATTCGCCTGCCCCACTATGGCTTGAGCCCTGTTCCCTAACAGTGACATTGTGTCAGGGCCCTGAGGAGTTGCGGACAAATGAAAAAGGCAGCGCTGCAGCCCTCTGGCTCTTTTCAGCAACGGGCTCTAAAGTTCTTGCTTGCTCCTGCCCAGTAACCCTAATGGGGGTGATGCAGTTGCCAAGATGATGCCAGGGGATTTTTTTGGCAAGGTGGCACTGTCAGAGCCTACTGGGCCAGCTTGCCTAAGGCCCTGGGAGAAGAAAGAACAGAGAAAGGAAGCAAATGGCTTTTCTTTGGGCTGTATAATTTCTATCCCTTCCAGCGTTCTCTGTCCATGTTTGGAATTATTACTGTAGTAGTAGTAGTAGTAGTAGTAATAATAATAATAATAGAATTTATATACCGCCCTATACCTGCAGGTCTCGGGGAGTTCTTAATACAGAGCTCTCACACGGTGAGCACAATGTATAATTAGAAGCATCTGACCATTAAGTTGTAAGGAAAGTCTGTACATAGGAAGTATTTATATGCAATAACCAGTTGGGGGACCCATTCAAATATCGATAAAAGACTTCTGTGGCTCATCCAACAACTGCATCGAGCGGACCTCATGCAAGTGAGACTGGGCCTTCAAGGCGCCCTCTCACAGGCAATTCCAACTAACAGAGGTGTCAAACAAGGATGTATACTGGCACCCTTCCAATTTAATTACTATACAGTAGTACCTCTGGATGCGAACGGGATCCGTTCCAGAGCTCCGTTCGCATCCTGAAGCGAACGCAACCCGCGTCCACGAGTTGCCGCTTCCGTGCATGGACGTGACGTCATTTTGAGTGTCTGTGTATGTGTGAGTGGCGAAACCCGAAAGTAACGCGCTCTGTTACTTCCGGGTCACCGCGGAGCGCAACCTGAAAATATTCATCCCGAAGCTACTTCAACCCGAGTTATGACTGTATAAATAATCCCTGATATGGCATCCCCTCCTTTTTTGCCCCCACCCTTGGGAATCATGAAGTGCCACATCTGCTCTACACCGACGACTTAAGTTTTGTTATCTCAGAACAAAATCAGATTTAAAAGGATGCCGGTTAAATTTGGACAGTTGTGTAAAAAAGAGCATCTACTAAAAATTAACTACGATAAAACCAAGGTGGTATTTGGCAAGAGAACTACCATGTCCAGGTGAACTGGTCACACCCTAGAACAAGTAAAGGGTAAAGGTAAAGGTACCCCTGCCCGTACGGGCCAGTCTTGACAGACTCTAGGGTTGTGCGCCCATCTCACTCAAGAGGCTGGGGGCCAGCGCTGTCCGGAGACACTTCCGGGTCACGTGGCCAGCATGACATCGCTGCTCTGGCGAGCCAGAGCCGCACACAGAAACGCCGTTTACCTTCCCGCTAGTAAGCGGTCCCTATTTATCTACTTGCACCCGGGGGTGCTTTCGAACTGCTAGGTTGGCAGGCGCTGGGACCAAACAACGGGAGCGCACCCCGCGTCCCATCCTAGAACAAGTACCCAGATATAAATATATAGGATTACTTATTGATGGGAAGTCATCATGGAAACCCCATCTGGAAGCAATTAAACTAATATCTGGCCATTCTACTGGGCAGCTATATAGGTTCTTCCATTCAAATGGCGGGCAGCTAATCAACCCAGCTATTAAGAGCTTTGTCTCTAAAATCATGGCCCAAACGCTCTACGGGGCTGAGATATGGGGAACTGGTGTTAAATCTGAAAGAGAGATCCCACAAAATAAATTTATGAGGCAGATTTGGGGGCTTCCCTGCGGGACACCAGCAGCCCACCTCAGAGCCGAGTTGGGCCTCCCCTCGCTTGCAGCCAGAATTGATCTAGCCTATCTGACATACTGGCACAGGCTAAATGCCTTCGAGAATTAGGGGGGGAATTGTCATCGCGCCACTCCCTGGTGTGTGGAGTGCCTCAGGGTGCGATTCTCTCCCCGATGCTTTTTAACATCTTTATGCGCCCCCTCGCCCAGCTTGTCCGGAGTTTTGGGCTGGGTTGCCATCAGTATGCCGATGACACCCAACTCTATCTGTTGATGGACGGCCATCCTGACTCGGCCCCAGATACACTGACCAGATGTCTGGAAGCTGTGGCTGGATGGTTTCGTGGGAGCCGGTTGAAGTTAAATCCTTCGAAGACAGAGGTCCTCTGGCTGGGACGGAGCGATATGGGATTGAGGAGGCAACTCCCATCTCTTGCGGGGGTGCAATTAGTGCCAACATCGTCCGTTAAGAGTTTGGGTGTAATCTTCGATACCTCCCTCTCTATGGAGGCGCAGATTACAGCTATAACAAAGGCGGCATTTTTTCATCTCCGCCAGGCTAGGCAGTTGGCTCCTTATCTCTCTCGCCCTGACCTAGCCACTGTGATCCATGCGACGGTCACCTCCAGACTGGATTATTGTAACTCGCTCTACGTGGGGCTGCCCTTGAGACTGACCCAGAAACTCCAGCGGGTGCAGAATGCCGCGGCGAGACTCCTTACGGGGTCTTCGCTACGAGATCATATCCATCCGGTATTATACCAGCTGCACTGGCTCCCGGTGGAGTACAGGATCAGGTTTAAGGTGCTGGTTTTAACCTTTAAAGCCCTATACGGCCTAGGACCCTCGTACCTACGGGACCGCCTCTCCTGGTATGTCCCACAGAGAAATCTACGGTCTGCAAATAAAAACATCCTAAAGATCCCAGGCCACAGAGAGGTTAGGCTGGCCTCAACTAGAGCCAGGGCCTTCTCGGCCGCGGCTCCAATCTGGTGGAACGCTCTGTCACAAGAGACAAGGGCCCTGCAGGACCTGACATCCTTCCGCAGGGCCTGCAAGACAGAGCTGTTCCACCAGGCCTTTGGTCAGGGCGCAGCCTGACCCCCTCCTCTGGCAATCGGCAATCTGCACAGAATTTTGCTTGATGGTTGCCATTAATTTGACTTTAATTTGATTTGATTAATTTTATAATGAATGTTTTAAAATGTTGTTAGCCGCCCTGAGCCCAGCTTCGGCAGGGGAGGGCAGGATATAAATAAAATTTATTATTATTATTATTATTATTACTAAGCTCTGCAGGTTAGAGCAACTAAGGACAGGGGGCTGAGCACAAAATTGCCAAGATACACTTCAGCAACGTTAGTTAAAACTGTTCTCATTCCTTGAAAATTATCAATATTGCAAAGCCACTTAAGAAATGGTGGACTGCACATTCAAACAGTTATTAATGGCTGTTTTAATGAGCAATAGGCTCTTAAAGAGTATAAAAATATTGCTTATAATGGGGACTACAAATTAAACTATGTTTTATCTCATTTACAAGAAGTAATTTAAAGTCACGGAAGACATTTCGCATATGTTCACAACTGCATGATACCACAATATTTGGAATAAAGCTGCTTAATTAGGAGACCACTTATATGTGGCATATTAAAGCAATTAGTCTTTTGTGGGCGGGGGGTGGGGTGGGTTAGAAGGTTTGACTTGCTAGGAGGATTAAACAAGATAAAAGTACACAATTTAAAGAAATATAGAGCTGGGTAGCTAGCTTCTGGTAAGATCACACACATAATGTAAAGCACTTCTGAGGACTTACCTTCAGTGATTTTGCCAACTGGACATGATTATCGTAAACGACAACATCCACCGTCAGGTTTCTTAGTCGATGAATGAGAACACTGTCACCTTCAAGGTCATCTTCTCTAACATGCAACTTCCAATACGTAAAGGGACATTTTGTGCCATCCCATACCTGGTATGAAACAAAATTCATTCTCCTTTTAAAACTGGCACTTTTTTATTTTTCCAGATTAAGGCTGCAATTCTAAGAACATTTGCTTTAAAAGGGTCGACCAAAGCCAATTGGGTTCACTTTGAACTAACTGTGCTTAGAATCACAGAATTGTGGAGAAGTAGGTTTTATTGGCCCTTCTGATCTCACTATCTTTTGTGAAGGTCACGAGGAGCTTTGAGGTTCTGGCTTCACCAGATCTCACCCCAACTCACTGTGCTGAGGGTTGAAACAGTGTTGGCAACAGGGTGGAATCAGAGAAGGCTGCTGGCGTGTCTAGCAGAGATCTAAAAATGGTGGTGCAAGACTGGCCCCAAAGGATACATCTGGCACTTTCCTGGTTTTTCTGGACCAAGATTACACAAAGACTTGGCTGACTAATTGATCGTTTTTCTTTAGTTTGAAAGTGAAATATAAATGGTTTTAAATAATGAATGAATCACCTATTCAAGTGGCATTTCTCAAAATGTGATAAGCTCCTAAAATATTAATATTCCTGGGAAACCCAGCCAGATGGGTGGGGTATAAATAAAATAACAACAACAACAAAAATAATTGCTATTATTGCTATTGTAACATTCCTCATACAATAAATACATTTTTTGGAAAGACTGGCTTTATGTAATCCCCTTACTACAATCTGGATCTTCTGAGTCATAAAGTCATGAAGACCAACAATCCAAATAATGGACATCATCTGGTTATGATACCACACTTGATCTTAGCCCAAAGGCAAAGAAACAGTGTCATGATGTGAACATTGTGCCCGTGATCAAAAAGATGCGTGTATGTGCTGTCTGTGAACACAGACCTTAAGTGCTCCCTTCCATGCGTGTGTGGGAAATCTCCCTATTTTCAACTTCTGACTGAAGGCCCTTGTGTGGTTCCTGAGGGTCTTATTTCTAGGTTAAAAGATGATTGTACAGGAAAGAATTTTGGTGGTGAGAACTTCCAGTGAACACATGGAAGAAAACACTTGGCCCTTAGGAGCTCACCTTGAAAATGAAGCCAAAGATCTAACTAGAACATGCATAATATATACACAGAAAGGACCTGCAAAATATTTTTTCAACCATTTTTTTATCTTGCTAGTGATAATTCCAGTTTTTAATAAGTTGCATTTTCAAAGGGAAGGGAAGGTCATCTCTTACCTAAGCATTACAATATTTCAATTTACCAGTTCAAACAAAGTGTGATAGGACTATCCAGCACTGTGATGTGACCAGACACAAGGAAAAATAAGCTTTTAATCACATTACCTTCAGTTTGTTTGTGAAGTAAAAATTAACTAATCGGGTTTCATGGGTTTCTCTGTCCCCCTGCCTCCAAAATTATTACCTCTTTTAGATAACTGTATTTATTTTCTGCTGTTTGTTCCTATGAATTTACTTACTTTAAAAAGTTCATAAACCCCAGAAGTTAATAAATCCCTGGCTGCATCTTGTTTGATTTCCCCCCATATTCATTGGAATGGTCATTTGTGAATTTCAGAATAAAAATATCCCTTGACACAAATGTAATAGTACCCTAATAATCTAATCAATAGTAATCACTCAGCAAAGCAAAATTTCGGCCTCCCCCCCTCTGTACTTTACAATTTTTGGTTTGAAGAGCCAAGCGCTGGATTCCTTTTTTAATTTATCTTTTACAGTGGTACCTCTGGTTGCGGACACGATCCATTCTGGGGTGCCATTTGCACCCTGAAAAGTCCGCAACCAGAGCAATGCTTCTGCGCACGTGCGAAGTGTGATAGAGCGCTTCTCCGCATACACAAACCGCACAGAACACTTCTGCGCATGTGTGAACCACGCAGAATGCTTCTGTGCATGAGACAAAATCTGGAAGTAAACATTTCCGGGTTTGCCGTGTTCTTAACCCCAAAAAATGCAATATGAAGCGTTCGTAAGAAGGTACGACTGTACTGAAATTTTCAAATGTATGCCCAAATAATGAGGCTATCACCACTGAAAATGCTGAAATTTCTGCATGTGTCTGGTTAATGTTCCAAAATACAGAAACAGAGCACTGAATGTGGTCATTCACCCACGGTGTAGCATGCATCTGATGTTTTGTGGCATCTCATGGGAAAACTACATGTTACACCAGTCACGTGGCCTTCAAGTGCAATTTTAATTGCATGATCCAGTCTGCACTGGAAGACAAAGGGTTACTCCTACGTACCTCTCCTTACACCAGGGTTTCAATCTGGATCAATGCTTGCCTGCCCTACAAATGATTTGAAGAAGGGTGGTGGATGGGAGAACGAACTGTTGTGCTCAAATACTTCACACATTAAGCTAAAGGAGAGTGATAGCTCAGTGGCAGAGCACATGCGTTCAATCTCAGGTTCAATTCCATCTCCTTGCAGCAGCAGGTAGGAGTCCTTACTGAAAACCCGGAGAGCTGCTGCCAGTCGGTGCAAACAAATACTACAGCTTCTTATATTTGTGTGTAAAGCATGGCTGGCTGAACTATTCCTCTTAGGGTAGGGTTTGGGGAACCTTTTCTCAGTCCAAGGGTTGGATGAGGAACTGGCCATCCCTCTTCAGGTTCATTAGGTTGTCAGGCGATACCTTCAAAAGGGGCTTGCTGTCAAAGCCAATCAGCTGACCTGCACCAAAGCAAGGCCCTCTGAAGTTGTCTGTTTGCAGGTGAGGTTTGGATTCCAGGCAGAATTAGGCCTACAAGACAGAGGTTCACCACCATTTTCTTAGGGGCCAAGAATATACTCTCCATGCTCTTTCCCTTATTCCCTCTGCTCCTTGCCAAACATTCCCAGGACAGTTTGAAGGCATGAACTTGAAAGTAAAATGTGCAAAAACCAGCAGATAGATATAAATTTCCCATAGCAATCTAACAACAGAGTTTCAACGATTTGAATATAGCTCTAGGAGTGGTAAGTAAGTATTGTTTGGTTCTTGGCAGTGCTGCTAAGAAGGGAGAAAACTTACTGTGCATTAGTTATAACATACTGCCTTTATACGAACATGAAAGAACTTTTGAATTAACACATTTTTGGGGGAGCGAGGAAAGCAGCGAACCTTGAGAAGGTAGGAAGATCCGTCGAGTTTTGCTTTTCCTACAAGCTGGCAAGTGAGATCAAAATACATAGGCGGCTGGATGCCAGACAATTTTGCTACGACTGCAGAGTTTAAAAGATTAGATGCCACCCAAATGCGCAAGTCTTCTATTGTTTTTCTGTCTTCATCTGTAAATGTGAATAATTTGCTGGACGTTCGAGGAACCACTGGTGTTCCTACAGCACCATCAAAGGTAAGTGCTGCAAATCCACTGCTGCTAATCCCTTGCAACTGCCCGCTGAACTCTTTGATCTAGGCGACAAGAACAAAAAGGCAACGCCGTAAGGAGAAATAAAAGTGTACTGCTTTTTGAACTCAGTGGGGAAAAAGCCAATATGTAGGATGATTATCACATGCATTTGAACTAATTATCGCAACTTACAAGATGAAAGACATGTACCGGCTTAGAAAGCAACGAACACCAGTCCATCCTTCTTTGAACACATTGTTTTGTAACAGGCATGTATTTGAAAAGTCTGACTCTCAACTTTCAAGATATGAGATTGGCAAAGCGCTCCGCTGCCCAACATTCTTGGGGTGCACCAAGTGGAATCCAACCCATGCAAACCGGAGGTTAGTCCCAAACAGGTGGGGACATAGGTGGCGCTGTGGTCTAAACCACTGAGCATCTTGGGCTTGCAGATCAGAAGGTCGGCGGTTTGAATTCCCGTGGCAGAGTGAGCTCCCACTGCTCTGTCCCAGCTCCTGCCAACCTAGCAGTTTGAAAGCATACCAGTGCAAGTAGAGAAATAGGTACCACCGTGGAGGAAAGGTAAACGGCATTTCCATGCACTCTGGCTTCCGTCACAGTGTTCTGTTGTGCCAGAAGTGGTTTAGTCATGCTGGCCACATGACCCGGAAAGCTGTCTGTGGACAAACACCAGCTCCCTCGGCCTGAAAGCAAGATGAGTGCCGCAACCCCATAGTCGCCTTTGACTTGACTTAACATTTCAGGGGTCCTTTACTTTTTTACCTAGTCCCAACCTTAATTTGAACGTATGTAACTCTAATGAAGGGACGCAGGTGGCACTGTGGGTTGAACCACAGAGCCTAGGACTTGCTGATCAGAAGGTCAGCAGTTCGAATCCCCACGACGGGGTGAGCTCCTGTTGCTCAATCCCTGCTCCTGCCAACCTAGCAGTTCGAAAGCACGTCAAAGTGCAAGTAGATAAATAGGCACCGCTCCGGCAGGAAGGTAAACGGTGTTTCCGTGCGCTGCTCTGGTTCACCAGAAGTGGCTTAGTCATGCTGGCCACATGACCCGGAAGCTGTACGCCGGCTCCCTCGGCCAATAAAGCGAGATGAGCGCCGCAACCCCAGAGTCGGTCACGACTGGACCTAATGGTCAGGGGTCCCTTTACCTTTTAACTCTAATGAAAACACTGCTAACTTATTTGGTGTGAACTCGTTGCAGTTTATTCAAGCTTCAAATGCATGGTAGGGAGTATTTTATGAAGCTCACTTGCTGGACAGTACAGAATGGTTGGGTGAGCTGATCCCAAGAAAATGTGTGTCAAATACTAAAGGTGCCCAAGCTTCAGAAGGCTGACATTCCTGACTCAAACATGACCACTCTAATAAACAAATGATCAGAATATTTTAATTTTTTTTAAAAAGTATCAAATGTGTTATTCAAAGAAACATAGCAGTTTTAAAATTAATTAACTCCTAGGTAAAGTAAACTAGGTAAACTCTCTCCCTTACTCCCAATCTCTGACATAGTTAAAGAAAGAAAACAAAAAGCAGCTTCTCTAACAAATATTGTGAAGCTGTGATAAATGGGTAGCTTCTGATTCTTCAGCTGACTTCAGCAATATATTCTATTACCGCTCAGGAGTGTATACTGACCAAGAAAAAGCAAAGTCTTGTTTCATCAGCTTTATGTATTTATTTGCGACAATAAGATTTGAAATAAATTGCCCCCTTCTGCTGCCTCCTGGTTCGAACTGACTCTCTAGACACGTGTGTAGAGCTACATCTCTTCTCCTCTCAAGACGCTTGTCAAAACCCACTCAGAGTTTGCACAATTCCCTTACTGTAATTTTTCCCCCTGCCCTCCCTTCCCAAAGGAGCCCAGTGCCCTAATGAAATTAATAAGCATGACAGGGGAAGGTCATAGGTTACTAAAAGAGCAGCTGCCTTGCATGTAGACGGTCCCAATTTATTTTTTCTTTATTAAATTTGTATACTGCCCTTCATCCATAGTTCTCAGGGCGGTTCACAGCATAGAAATGCAATATAAAAAACAGAAAATACATAACAAAAACAGGAACAAGAGAAAACAATACCATCCCCCAACACATTTAAGAGGGTAGCGGATGTTAAGTTTTTGCCTGGCACCTAAAGATGTATAATGAAAGCACCAGCCAAATTTCAGGGAGAGCATTCCACAAACAGGGAGCCACTGCAGAAAAGGCCAGTTCTTGTGTTGCCATTCTCAGGATCTCCTGTGGAGGAGGCAAATGAAGAAGGGCCTCAGAGGATGATTGCAAGGTCCAGATCAGTTCCTATGGAGAGAAGTGGTCCTTGAGGTATTGCAGTCCTAAGCCATCTAAGGCTTCATAGGTCAGAACCAGCACTTTGAATTGGGCCCGGGAACTAATTAGCAGCCAGTGCAGTTGAGCCAGGAACAGTGTACCTTGCCCTGGTGAGCAATGTCGTTGCTGAATTCTGCACTGGCTGAAGTTTCCGAACTGTCTTCAGAGGCAGCCCTACGTATAATGCATCGCAGTAATCTAACCTAGCGGTTGGGACACGGGTGGCGCTGTGGGTTAAACCACAGAGCCTAGGGCTTGCCGATCAGAAGGTCGGTGGTTTGAATCCCTGCAACAGGGTGAGCTCCCGTTGCTCGGTCCCAGCTCCTGCCAACCTAGCAGCTCGAAAGCACGTCAAAGTGCAAGTAGATAAATAGGTACCGCTCCGGCAGGAAGGTAAACGGCATTTCCGTGCGCTGCTCTGGTTCGCCAGAAGCGGCTTAGTCATGCTGGCCACATGACCCGGAAACTGCACGCCAGCTCCCTCGGCCAATAAAGCGATATGAGCGCTGCAACCCCAGAGTCGGTCACGACTGGACCTAATGGTCAGGGGTCCCTTTACCTTTCCCTTAGTGGTTACTGCGGCACAGATGACAGACAATCCCTGGCATCTTCAAGCTTGGGCTGGGAGAGACCTCTGTCTGAAACCTTGGAGAGCTATTGCTAGTCAGTGCAGAGCAAAATGGACCAGCACTGAGCAAGATGGACCAATGGTCACACCGGCAACCCCTAGCCTAATAAGCTCTTGTCCCCGACCCCCCTCCCCACACACATAAGAAATCAGTGCAGCAAATTTGCAGTGGCAAAATACTAACTCATGTATCAAGGTAAAGCAACCTGGAGCAGAATTAAACCCATAAGGTAAAATTTACTTCTGGGGTATAATAGACGGCCTGCAGTGCTTTGTGATTTATTTGTTTTTCGTACAGGCCAGAACGTTTGTTTGTTTTGATATAGCAGCAAACACACACACACACACACACACACACACAAAACTACTGTGGTACCTTTAAAGTGGAATATCCACACACAAACACTAAAACTTAATTTATTATACAGGTGAAAATGCTAAGTTATATTTTGAGAAGTTGATGGGGCCAGAACAGAACCCTGTTAGCTTTGAAAGAGAAATAATTATAGGTTCAGAGAGCATGGTTTCCCTAAGGCTAGCAAGGTCACAGCTGAGGCAATATTTTAACCAAGGACTTTGCAGCTTGCAAGTTTTGCTGCTAAAGGGCACCACCTCAATTACATGTGCCTTATGAACGTAACAGAAAGAAACATAGCTCAGGGATTTGCATGCAAAAGGTCCCAGCTCCAGGTAGGGTTGGAAGAGACTTTGGTCTGAGACCATGGGAAACTGTTGCCAGTGTAGACCCTATTGAGCAAGCTGGGCCAATGGTCTACCAATCTATGGTGCTACTGTTAAGCATTTTACAGAATTTACCGACACGAAGGGACAACTCATGCAGTCAAACCCACAACCAAGCCAGCACAGATAATACAGTTGTACCTTGGTTGCCGAACGCCTTTGAAGTCGTACGTTTCAGCTCCCGAATGATTGAAAACCAGAAGGGAGTGTTCCGGTTTTCAAACTATTTTTCGGAGGCCGAACATCCGGCATGGCTTCCAATCGGAAGCTGCGTCTTGGTTTCTGAACAGTTCCGGAAGTCGAACGGACTCCCAGAACGCATTCTGTTCGAGAACCAAGGTACAACTGTACAGGCTTTTTTTAAAAAAAATTATTACAAGACATTCCAAAATATATGTACTAAAGACAAAGTAAACCTTTTGTTTTTCATTGCAAGAAGAATGTTCTGAATCCAAGAAAATGAAACTTTGTCAATAGATTGGGATTAACATATTTAAAGCTATACATTTAAAAACATACTAAATAACACTCCAATCTAGGTACCTTTAAAAATGGAACGTTTGACTCTAATTGCGATTTACGATCATGTGTGATAATGGGATAAGAAGAAATTCTATTACAGAAAAAAAGATTTTGCCTTGGAAGCACATTAATTAACTGAAATAATGGGCAGATATTTTACGTGTAACTTTCAGGCACTGAAAAGAAGGAAAATTATAATTTACTTAGGCAGCTTAAAACTATAATATTTAAGTAGCTTAATTAAACTTTTACTATTCTAAATTTGCCTGCCAGTTGAACCCTGACCGCAGCTAAATTGTACTCTCAGATAAATGGCTGCAAGATACTTACCCAGATACAACTGCCTTGAAGTGACCAAAGCTACATTTAGAAACACAGCAGGAAAGCTGGCAAATATTTTTCTGCTTTCCACATGCTCTTATTCAAACAATTGTGGTTGTGCTAATGGGTGGAACTCAATTTATTGTAAATGTTTTGCTTCTCTTATAAAGAACACACAATATGTGAACAGTAACGGAACAGAAAAATGAAGTGTAGCACCCTGCTTTAAAAGTGTTCAACATTTGTTGCCATTTAAAAGCAACAAAACAAATTTGCGTTTTCTTTCATTGTGCCTTAAATTCTGGGTTATATCCAATGTTATGGGAATGGAAGGGTTAGGGTTGGCGAAATGTTTCTTTTCCTCCCCCACTTCCCTCCAAGTGGATTTTTATTATTATTATTATTATTATTATTATTATTATTATTATTATTATTATTATTATTATTATTATTATGAAATACTTTATTTTAGAATGATGAGCAAAGGGATTTCTGAAACTGCATACATACACTTACGTGCCATTGGCTTGTGCGGCGGGAAATAAATTAATGGATAGGAATTCATACCAGGAAATGGCAGGAGAGTGCTGGAGTCCTTGTGGCTCACGAGAAGACCCATCCCAGGGCTTGAAGAGGGCACCAGTGAAGGTGAAAGAAGCCCCAAAGTGGAAGCCCCTGAGGTGCAGTGTAGCTTTGTTTAGGCTGCTAAGCTTCCCTGCCTAACAGCTGCCGCAGCCACTTTCCTACACATCCTCCAGCCGGCCCTAAAACTTCAACTCTAGATATTTTGGTCTGGATTGGAGAGACAATTGGAGCAGAAGAGAGAGCTGGAGAGCAGGAAAATGGGTGTTTACAGGCTTTTTAGAGGGCGCTCCCCACTTATGCAATTGTCGCTTATGCGCACAGGGGCCCGGAATGTAACCATGGCATAAGTGGGAACTTAAGACTCTGCACTTTATCAGCTCATTATAATTCCTCTATTATAATGCTACACACAGTACAACTCTAAATTGTGAAAGCAAGATGTACCTCTACTGCTCAGGAGAAGGAAGAAAGGTTCAATGCCTTCCTTGCTTGTGGCTTTCCTCTCATTGGCATATTTGGAGTATCTGTTTCCGAACCTAAAGGACTGGGAGATTATACAGACCAGCCTAATTTTGCTGCCATCCAATTCAAACTGTTGCAAATCTGTTGGATTCAAGATTCCAAGGCAGAAAGGCAACTGATGGTAGCACTGCTTCTGCATTTGACCGGATTACAAAACAAACAGGATACTCAGGGCTTGATGTTGGGAAGGTACCTTCAAATACAGAATATATTTGGGTATCTGGCCAAGGAATACAGACTGGGATTCCCTGACAAGCATTCCTGAAACATGGTTGCAAAGACCTCTTTGTACAACAAATCCTCTAGCTCCTCTTGTTTCTTACCTTCCTAGTCTCCTCCATCTTCCGAAGCATGTAAAAGAACCTGGTTTGTGTTTGGAAATGCACCAAATAATCTGATATGTGAAAGGACTAACCTTCAGTTTTAGAAGTCCATAATAAATATGATGACAAATATTGCATAAACAGAAACAGATAGTGATAATCAGAAAAAGGCTGAACATAGTGTTCACTGAGTTCTAATAAGGCTGGTCTCAAGAGCTAGAGAGAAGTTTCTCCATTACTGTCAATTGGATGCAAAAGAGACATTTGCATCAACTTCTCCCATAAACAACAGTGGGAGTCCCACATTTATGTGGAATTGCAACGCATCAATTTGGATGCTTTGTTCACAAAGTACAACAGCCCAGCTTCCTCTCTACAATGAATGGCAAATACAGCAAAGGTACCTTTATTCTGTGAAATCGAACAATGTCACCATTTTTGTAGATTTGTGGAAGGGCATCTCTGTTTACATTAAAAAGTGAACATATCAGCTTGGCATCCGATTGGTCCACAATGGTTATCACTGAGCAATAATCTGTAAAGGAGAAAATATAGATGTAAAAAAGTTGGCACCATATTTCTAAAAGCATAGATTAATACATAAAGGATCATGATGTCAGGTAACATCATGAGAATAAATACAGGGATGAGATTATAGGATTCCATATGCTTTTAAGAAAGCAAAACTATTTCCTAAGATTAGCCATGCCAGAAATTTTACACCTACCTCTGTTTAAAAAGTGCATGCATTTTCAGTAATCTTGACATGTCTACAGATGTGAATGGGTTTGAAACTTTCATAAAATTACTAACAAATCTTAACACTGAAGAGAAAGTATTTTATTTAAATTCAAGGTATCAAGGACAATGGTCAGCCAACCCTTTAATTGGCCAAGGGTGACAACGACACTTTCTTCTGTGACATGAGGCAAGGAGGAATGATTACCATGCAGTCTAATTTTCATTCAGTACTGCTCCATTTCTTCACATCTAGCTAAGGTGTTAGTCTCCGGAGAGCTAATAATTGCCAGTTGTGTGTCAAGTCTCTTTTTGCTTAGCTTTGCCCTCACTTAAAACAGCCATATGAAGAGGGCAAATGGCTTAAACCACTTCCTGTTCATGCAGAGTAAGAAGCTACAGACTGTTTAGGCTTTAGAGAGAAGCACTGCAGGGGGTTGAATTAAGATGACCCATGGGTTCCTTTCAACTCTATGATTCTATCCGCACTCAAATCTATAACAAGTTAGGAGCACACCCTCATTGATACATATCTTCAACCTCCTTAAGAAGACCGAACAGCAGGGACAAACATGTATGTTCTGCAAAATTCTTATAACTTTAATACACTAATATCCTGCCTTTCCTTTCAAAGGAGCACACAGCAGCAAAGATATCAATGATTAAAAAAACCTAATTAAAATACAATAAAAACTTATTTAATACATCTAAAAATATCTTACTATTATAACATATATATTCCACATTTCCTTCAAGGTGCCCCTCTCTCCAAGTTATTCTCACAACAATCCTGTGAGTTAGGTTAGGCTGAGAGATGATGACTGGCTGAAGGTCACCCAGTGAGTTTCAAGGCAGATTGAAGATTTGAAGGTGTTCCAGGTCATGGGTAGGCAAACTAAGGTCCGGGGGCCGGATCCGGCCCAATCGCCTTCTAAATCCGGCCTGCCGACGGTCCGGGAATCAGCGTGTTTTTACGTGAGTAGAATGTGTGCTTTTATTTAAAACGCATCTCTGGGTTATTTGTGGGGCATAAGAATTTGTTCTTCTTTTTTCAAAATATAGTCCGCCCCCCCCCCACCCAAGGCCTGAGGGACAGTGGACTGGCCCCCTGCTGAAAAAGTTTGCTGACCCCTGTTCCAGGTTTTAGTCTAATAGTCTAACCCAGAGTGGTCCAACATGGCTCTCAGACTGCCTGCAGCCCTCAAGGCCTTTTCTGGCGGCCCTCAGCAACTTTTGATGCCCCGCCCTCACAGTTCCTTCCCAAAGCTGGGTAAGTGAGGCACTGGGCTTTGGGAAGGAAGCTTGAGGACTCTACCAGGTTCCTAGAGTTCTCCCGCCTCCTTCCTAAAGCCTAGTTAGCGCTTGCCCAGTCATTGATCCTCTAAGCACTACATTCCATAACAGTATTGGGTATCAATGCCAATTTTCATATTCAGGACATCATCCTTTAAAAAATGAATTTCTAATGCAAAGGACAAATCTATTATTTCTACAGGCTCTGGCAGAAACAACATATAACATTTGGGCTAAAACAACACCAAGTTTTGATATAGTTTACTAGATTTGCCCATCATATTGGAAACCATTAACATTTTTAGATTAAATAGTGCTAACTAGATCTTAATGTGTAAGAGATGAAAAATTAAACTTCCTGTTAGGTATTAGAAACAATCTTGAGCAATTCACCTAATTTCCTCTGTAAGATTAAATGCAAATTGCCTTGTAGTTTTATTGCAAGGCCTGCTAGTATCTCTAAGCCAAGCCTTTAATCAAAGAAGCCATGAATATAATAGTCTACAGTGTATATTACAAATACTTATTTGTAATTCTCTGCCACCATTGCACAACACACTCTAGGATTGCAGTATAAATGAGTTAACTTTGAGACAGGAATGTCATGTTCAACAAATAGTTAGGAAATAGTTCCAATGAGGTGCTTTAAGCTAACAGCTAATACTACAAAAAATATTTTAGTTTAATTTTTTACTTACTGTAAAGCAACTATTCTCAAAGGATTAGTCCTGAGAAACAAGGCCTAAGAAGTATGATACTGAATTAGCTGCTTGTTTAACTTTGCAAATTATCTTCAGGAAATAGCATCAAAGTACAGTTAAGTGTGCCACAGAGGTGTAAAAAGCAAGTAGGAACAATACATTTTAGCAAGCTCATTAAAATCTGACAGCTTGTTTTAAACCTATATACTGTGTACCTCACTTTAATTAAAAAGGTGAAAAATTGCATGCTGGCAAGATATACAAGTTCTAAGGTAACTCAAATTTAAATCTAATATTTTCAAAACTCGACAAATATACAGGCTGCTTCAAGTTACAGCTCTGTGCGTCACTACAGGGTTATCTCAGTTCAGACAAGCAATACAGTACACAGTGTAAAATACTTTCACAAAACATGGGATCTCGCCATCGCTTAAGGAGAGAAACCGTGTCAGTTCAACAGTGCAAAACTAATGCTGATACATCCTCATGGATTACCAAAATCTGGCACTGAAGTACAACAAATGCTTATAAAAATTCACTCTACCATATTCTTTTATAATGTGTTGGATAGAATGCATCTCCAAGGTGACTTTCTTTCCATAGCCTGAAGGCTCTTCCTAGCACTCTAATAATCTCACCTTACATTTTTGTTTCAAAACATGCGAGATTGCAGAAAAAAAACAACTTGAAAGCAAACAGCTTGCATGGCTCACAGACCTAAAGCCAAATGAAGATTCCAACCATTATTATTATTATTATTATTATTATTATTAATTAAATTTGTATACTGCTCTCCATCTGTAGATCATGTTCTCATGCCTTAATTGTTAGTTAAAAAAATCTATCTCATGATTTGGAATATAGGGAGTTAGCCTCTCCCAGGTACCTTATCACATCAGGTGACTGGAATACAGTGGTGCCTCGCAAGACGAAATTAATCCGTTCCGCGAGTCTCTTCGTCTTGCGGTTTTTTCGTCTTGCGAAGCACGGCTATTAGCGGCTTAGCGGCTATTAGCGGCTATTAACGGCTTAGCGGCTTTAAGAAAAAGGAAACAAACTCGCAAGAACTCGCAAGACGTTTCGTCTTGCGAAGCAAGCCCATAGGGAAATTCGTCTTGCAGAATGACTCAAAAAACGGAAAACCCTTTCAATATAGGGAGTTAGCCTGTCCCAGGTACCTTATGACATCAGGTGGCTGGAATAGTTATATCCACTTAGGTTTGTTACTGCATATGAAATTGTATTTTTAAAGTCCTACACTTCTGTGATGATATGCCAAATGTTAAGATAAAAAAGGTAAAGGACTCCTGGATGGTCAAGGTCCAGTCAAAGGTGACTATGGGGTGCGACACTCATCTCAACTTCAGGTTGAAGGAGCCGGTGGTTTGGCCACCAACAGATTCCCGGGTCATGTGGCCAACTAAAATGCTTCTGGCACAGTGGGACACTGTGACAGAAACCAGAGCGCACAGAAGCACTGTTTACCTTCTGACCGCAGCAGTACCTATTAATCTACTTGCACTGGCGTGCTTTTGAACTGCTAGGTTGGCGGAAGCTGAGACAAAGCAACAGGAGCTCACCCTGTCATGCGGATGTGAACCGCTGACCTTCCAATCAGTAGTCCAAAGAGGCTCAGTGGTTTTGAGCACAGCGCCACCTGTGTCCTGGTTCTAAATGTTGAAAGTATCCTGGCATGTTGTATGGAGTGAAACCCACCAGCACTGGGAGTCTAGTTCATACACTTACTAGAATAGCTCTTCCATATATGTGGGTGGGAGACACTGAACTCTCTAATACACCCATCACACACATACAATATAAGGCAAGATATATGTCATAGGTACACATGTTTCTCAAAACACTTCTTCCTAAGACAGCACATATTCTAGGAAAGACAGTCTAAAGTGCGTGAAACGGCCCCTAGCACAAGATAGATTGAAAGCCCAAAATGCTATTCAGTATGGAAATCAGTAACACAAGAAACACAAACTACATTTAGTATTTTAGTGGCTAAAGAAGCTTTGAATGACACACAGGGTGCAGTTTCCATTTCGGAAACATTCAGAATGGATTTCAGGGTAGACAAGCACACCAAAAACAGAGAAACTTTAATAGTTTTGCTATAGCAGTTTGAAAATACATGCATAGATATATGCAAAGATGAAAATACATGTTCTATTTCCAACCTCTATGGGCCTTTCCACTGAGACCAACAGACATCTACAGTTTTACATGTATGCCAGAAGCAGCTTCCCAACTGGGATCGATCTGCAATGCTAGCTTTCGAGCAAGTGGATCACAGTTGCTTACCAGCATGAGCAAGGTGACAGGATGGGTTCTGCTGGTCATGCCAACTTTCCTATTACATCGCCCTTCCAGTAAGCAGCAGCGACTCAGCTGCCAGGAAGTCAGTGTAACAGCTCCACACCAATTTGCAAGCCATTGCTGATCTATGTATTTTTACCAATCAATTCAATGGAAGTGAGCGTTCAATCTTTATTCGATATCTCAACTCTCTGTTCAGGCCACTGAACAGTGTACTTCCCGCCGATAACAAGTTTGGGCTTTTGTAGAGTTCCAGGTTGTATTGTCTGTGATTTAGATCAATTGGGTTAAGTTGGTTTATTCTGTAGTAAGTCGCAAATTTATGCTACCATGAAATAATTTAATTGTATTAGCATTGTTTGAGAATGGCAAAAAAACCAACAACAACCAACCTATGGAAATGACTTTAAGCAGTAAGCTGTAACACCTGACAAAATTACTGAACAGCTACTGTAAGCTTGCTTGGCTTAACTGCAAAAGAAGGAACAGGGAAATATTAAGCCCTCACAGCAGCAGTTGGAGCTACAGTTACTTCTATGTCATTAGAGACCCTAGCCTGGATCCAATTGCCATTTCATGGATTACATTTTCTACCATCAGCTGGGGAGTCTTCAGATATCTTAATAGGGGGTTGCCAACCTTAAATTTCCATTTGATACCTTCAGTCGAGAAGTGCCCTTTCTGCAAGTGATTGTCTACATGCCCTTTTGGTTTTGACCATTTTACATTTAAAAGCTACAAGTGGTGAGGAAAGAGAAATAAGAGGAAATCTGCCTATCCAGAAATAACATTTTAAAAATCAGCAACACCTTCTGCAATATCCTAAAGGATAGAAAATCATAATCTTTTCAGCTCTCTGCAGCTCTCCAGAAGGGGAAAAAATATCCCTATTAAAATTAAAGACTGAAAATCTCACAGTGAATGCAGTTTTCTCAGACATACAGACCTAGCATAACTAAGCATCAAAAGATGCTGAAGTATAAGAATCTAAAAGTTTCATCTTGGCTACAGGAAGACAATTTCTATACAGAAAGAACTAGTAAATGTTAACCATATTGATATAACTTGTACACCAGAATTGTATTTGGCTTTACATACTTTTTTCTTAATCTTCTACAAACTACATAGGAGAACAGCACAGACACAATATAAGATATGGAGGCCTTGTTCACACATAACACTAAGCCATGGTTTGCTTAACAAACCATGAGTGAAACCACAGTTGTCCCACAAACAGGCAAGTATGCTTATTTCTCCAAAATTTAGTTTGTTTTCCAATTACTAAACTCATTCCTTTATAGATTGACCACCTGAGACGCTCGCCAAACAAACATGGTTAAGGAAGAGTGCTGGATTCACACATAGCACCGGATCATAATTCACACAAACTAAAGTTTGCAAATAATCAGCAAACCATGGCTTCAGATTGTTGTCAGGAAACAAACCATAGTTAAGCTGCTAGGTAGGGTTCACACAGTGCTAAAGCTATGGTTTAGCATTATGTTTGAAGCAGATCATTGTGTCCTAATAATGGCAACACTATTTTTCAAACATCTATTTTAAATCTATTTCTATTCCTAAGTTTAATTCAAGAAGAGATAGATGGCAATAGCTGATGTGCTTTATGAGTACCCTAGTGATCCAATGATGGCGGAACAGATAAGTGGGCTTTTTACGAAATTGACAAGCTACAACGCAACTCATTCCAGTTTTAGCCAAAACAAGATCTTGAATCATTCTAAAGAAATCCGTTAAAGAAAGGGTTACCATCACAAGAAGGTAGTCAGCCTTAAAAAAAAAGAACAAAACAAAACCCAGCACAACCGGTCAAACTTAACAAATTGTTTGTAAAACGTATCATCTACAGAAGTATTGCTTTTGTTCCCCGAGATCCTGGCAAAAGGAATAAGATGGGTTCACTAAAAAAAAAAAGTTTCCTGGGAATTCTGGATAAAAATAATTTTCATTACTGCCACAGTCTGCCTTGCCAGGATACAAGATCACCATTATGAAAGAAGTTGACCAGTTTAGAAAGTTCTTTCTATGACAGAAAGCCTTCTATCATCAGCTCAAATTATCACAAAACTAACGACCAATATGCAAATCGCTCCATTCCCTCCAAAATTCGAGCAGACACATTATTTTCCAGGTTCATGCCTGCAATATAATTTTAGTTTATAAGTGAAGAGATGAAACTAATGATATTCATTTTAATTTCATTTTGTGGAAAAATAGACAAAGCATATGTAATAACAGATGGACCATTACCAGTTCTTGATACCAAATTTAATTACCCCATCCATTTTTTAAAGGTCTGACATATAAATTATTGTACCTCATGGTGCTTTATTCTTTTTTTTTTCTTAACTGGGATGTGAAAACACTTATCTTTCAATATTTCCAACAGTTTTATGTTTAAATACCATTACCACAAACTATGTTGGGTTTTTGTGCGACTAAAGTCATGTTCATTTTTAAACAAAAGTAGTGAAGGAAGCAGATCCATTTTCAAACACCACGACCAAAGACTAAAAAGGTAAAGGTACCCCAGCCCGTACGGGCCAGTCTTGCCAGACTCTGGGGTTGTGCGCCCATCTCACTCAAGAGGCCGGGGGCCAGCGCTGTCCGGAGACACTTCTGGGTCACGTGGCCAGCGTGACAAAGCTGCATCTGGCGAGCCAGCGCAGCACACGGAAACGCCGTTTACCTTCCCGCCAGTAAGCGGTCCCTATTTATCTACTTGCACTCGAGAGTGCTTTCGAACTGCTAGGTTGGCAGGCGCTGGGACCGAGCAACGGGAGCGCACCCCGCCGCGGGGATTCGAACCACCAACCTTTCGATTGGCAAGCCCTAGGCGCTGAGGCTTTTACCCACAGCGCCACCCGCGTCCCTGTTCGACCAAAGACTATGTTCCTCTATTTGTCAATCCCAAAGAGCAAAGAAATCCCTCTTGAGTTTCTCACCGTTGCATCAAATGGTGTGCAATGAATAGGGAGGTTTCCACAGCTTCTCCACAAATGAATAAAACTTTCACCTATTGCCGAAGACATTGGGCTGCCTAATCTCCTAGCCACGCTAGCATGAATTTCTTTCCTTTTCAAAGCTAACCATGGTCAGGGTTTCATCTGCCCTAACCACTATAAACTCCAAGTTACAATACAACAAGCTCCCATTTCCAAACTTTGATTTGGAGTTAGTGATAATACTGAGCACAACAGGCAAACCCCATTTTAGGCGCGACCAATATGTGCACAATTGCACAGCAGTGAACCCAAAAGTTGACGCGGGAATGTCATAAAAGAAGTCACTGAAAGGGTGGGACAGACCAAGGTGGCTCACCAAGGTGAATCTGAGCAAGCATTCTTTACAACAGCTTTTCTCAATCTGTGGGTCCCCAGATGTTGTTGAATTACAACTCCCATCACCCCTAGCTAGCAAGGCCAGAGCTCAGGGATGATGAGAGTTGTAGTTCAACGTCTGGGGACACACAGGTTGAGAACCGCTGCTTTACAGGAATCCAAGCATCCAGGAAGCATTGAGCAGTTTATCAGAAATCATAAAGGTAAAGGGACCCCTGACCGTTAGGTCCAGTCGTGGACGACTCTGGGGTTGCGGTGCTCATCTCGCTTTACTGGCCAAGGGAGCCAGCGGACAGCTTCTGGGTCATGTGGCTAGCATGACTAAGCCGCTTCTGGCGAACCCGAGGAGCGCATGGAAACGCCGTTTACCTTCCCGCCGAAGCAGTACCTATTTATCTACTTGCACTTTGATGTGCTTTCGAACTGCTAGGTTGGCAGGAACAGGGACCGAGGAACGGGAGCTCACCCCGTTGTGGGGATTCGAACCGCCGACCTTCTTGATCAGCAAGCCGATCAGAAATCATACAATGACCCATAATTGACTTCTTGCTCATATTTGCTATGAGAATTTTTTTAAAAGCAGAACACTTTGTGAGTTTTATATATTTAATAATACATACCCGTTCCTTTGCATTTATATGGAGGCTTGAAGAATTTCACAGCACCATAGAGGTTGACAATAGTCCCGCCTTTAACACGATTCAAAGGGGTGTATGTGTAGCTGGGGGTAACAGGCTAACAAGACAAAGCAGAAAGTGATCACATTCAAGTCAAATTCTGTAGCTATTTTAAAGTGGCAAGCTTCTTCTTTTCTCTCTCTCTCTCCTTTTCTTTTGCCAAAACTTTCTTTAGATACAGGGCCTAGATATCAGGTCCATTATGAACACCAAACAAAACATTTTTCTTTGCTACTGGTCATTCCATCAGAATACTCCTTCCTCCTTTGGAAGAATTCCCCTATAAGGAAAGGTTATAACAATTTGGGGTGGAATTTTTGTTTTATTTTAACTGTACAGAAAAGGTGAGCGGGGAGTGGATATGCTTTGTGATGTATAAAATGATGTTGGGGTGTGTGTGACTATTTTCATACTAGAATCTGGAACCATCCAATGAAGCCGAATGTTAGGAAATTCAGCTCAGAAAAAAGAAAGTGCTTCTTTATACAGTACCTAATTAAACTATGGGATTTGCTCCCACAAGAGGCAGACAGCCACCAGTTTGGGGGGGTTTTAAAGGGGGATTGGACAGATTCATGGAATATAAGGCTATCAATTGCTGCAAGCTATGTCTGTTATATATGTTGCGGGCCTGATTAGGCATTAATCTAAGTGAAGAAAAGAAAGAGACAAGAACCTATATCATAACCTTCAAGGATAGATTAAATAATTAGTTTAACTATCCTCGACAAACCAAACTTCAAAACAGTGTAAAACCACAACATGTTTTGATTAAATCCTTGCTATATTTAATAAGCGCCTACTCATTTGTTGCAAATTCATCTTGTCGGTATGTTCTCTGACATAACAAGCTAGCTTGGCCATTGAAGCAAATTCCTACATTTTCTCTCTGTATTTATTAATGGTTGGTATCGTTGCTGATCTCCATTTTTCTGCCAACAAAAATATTGTTGCCAACACCATACAATGACACAGATTCCTTATGTTGCTGTATAACTAAACCATCTGTATAGTTTTAACAGAAAAAAAACCACCGGGTCCAATCGTAAGTTAAATGTTTCTAGTACAATAGCACTGATTAATTTCCATGGTTTTAATAGTTATCACACATGTCGATTGATCATTTCACAGGATGTTGGAAAAACCCATTTGCTGTACATTCTGTGGTTGGAGTAAGTGTGTAAGCTTATGAGATGAGAAAACACATGGGTCCAACATATAGAATGAGAAAGCCAACTGATTTTTGATCTTTGCCAATTGATTTTTGACACATTAGAATTTCAGTCTGGCCCTAGTGAGTATAGAATCTTGCCAACCAGTTGTACACATGTCAAAAAATCTGCATGGTTTGCCCTCTCCTGATACAGCATATTTGCTTTAATAAAGTTTTGGAAAGGCTGTTGGAACACATGATTTTTTGTACTTTCTCCAGTAACCAGCAGAAGGTGCCACAGGCATTTTAATTATTTCTGTCATCACCTTGTTCTGCTGGCTAGCCTAATAACAGTCATAATACTTGCAGACCCCCTCCAAGATGTTCAGGAAATTAGCACACTTGTCAGAGTTTCTGAGCCTCTACAGCCTGGTGTATTTTTTATTTAGCGGAGCTGCTTGAAAAGAATTTTTCTATATACGTAAGACAAATTAAAGTAGCTGGAAAACACATTCATAAGGCATTCCCAGCCTCACAGTGTAAAGAGAGATGTCCAAAGGAGGAAACCTAGCATGTGTTTGGATTTATTCAAAATTTCTGCCCTATTCTCTGCCTTATTCCTTTTGTAATTGTGTTCCCTACAGCAGCTAATGCAAAATTATTTTGAGATCTATAGCCATTTCTACAGTCCATCTTAAAGTTGCTGTAAAACTTGTTTCAGGCACTGAACTTGCGGTGCCTTCTGCAATTTAAAACAAAAATAAAAGAAACACCAAAACAAAACTTACCATGGCTATAGTTTCTGAACCAGTAATTGTATTGGATGACCTAGTACAAACCTGCGGAGAAAAACAGAACTGAAGATTGTTAGAACAAACTGGAAGACAATAAGGACAATTTCAGTTTTCTTATTCCAGTATTTTAAGATGGACATTCTTTGTTCTTTGAACAAATATATGCTGGGAGTTAATCTATTATGTATAGATAACTTAAAAGATAGAAATAATAAATGTATGCATTTTTATTACATTGTAATTTAAGTGAATTGTCTTATGTCAAACATATAGCAAATGCTACCTAAATATTTATGTAAACCAACAATTCTAATCAACAAACATTTATAGTTTTATAGACTACTTTATCTCAAATATCTGGGGTTAGTATAAAAAAAAACAAACTAACAGAACAGAATAGTTTAATAATGCATATTTCTATTATGGCCAATATCAAAATAAAATTGAAGTAAAGAAAATTCACTAAAAAACCATCCATGCTTTTCCAACTTAGCCCTGAGCTCAAAAGGGCAGATCAAATGGGTAGGATTTAAAATATTTCTAAAGGTTTCCAGGCTGTACTGGAATAGATTGAGGGATAGTTATTCCCTTGGTAATTTAAATTTCTGTATTTTATAAAACATATTGCACAAATGTACTCTACGGCTACCTAGGACCTAGTTTGCATGTCATGATAAGCCAGTTTACTTGGCTTTGTATATGAGTTAATAATGGATGTGCCCCAGAATGAATTCTTCCCATCCATGGAGCTCAAACAAGCCATACTATGGCTTGTCAAGTGATATAAACTCAGACAGTGATTTGTTTGAAAACAAACCATGGTCAAGGTTTGGATGACACAACAAACCATAGCATTTTTTATTTTATTTTTTGCACTGCCACGTGGATCCAAAAGGGAACTTCACTCAAAGTAGCTCTTTCAATTTAAAACAAGTCTTTAAGAAATAATATGAATTAATTTATTATCAGCAATTTTAACACTCAATGCTACAAAGATATAGTAACAGAATACCTACTTGGTGGGTGCTTTCTCTGGTTTTAATTTTCCTCTTCATTTTTATCTACAAAACAACAAAGTGACTTCAAAACTATCCCAGCCTACAATGGCACAAATGAGAATCCCTCAAGAATTTCAAATTTAAATTTTATACAAAATGTGTGCATCTAATTTTTCATATTTCAGTTGCATTTGTCAAAACCACTTATCCTTGGGTACTTAGAGCTGCCTCTTTTTTTACTGATCCTTCTCCTGATCTTAAGAAAAGCTTTATTTACTCAAAATTGTTTCAGGCTGCTCCGATAGGTGCGAGGGCATGTCTAGAAAAGAGGTGGCAACACTATCTGTAGTCAATGGAATTCTGCCCAAGGTTTTCACTCCTCGCTAAATACATTTCATAAAGATAATACACGAGTATTCATACTGGACACATACGTTTTATAGCATTAAGATTTGTGCAAGTTATGGTATCGATTTTACATTGGTGCCAATTTAATCACTATCGTATTAGAGATGGGCATGTCTTACCCAGCTGCCTGAATGATTACTGTGCTTTAGGGACTTCACTGAACTTCACAGATGCCTACATTCCCCTGAACTATATTTTGTGCTTTGTGAATTGTAAAACAGCAAACTGGATCTTGTGGGCGCTCATGACTGTGAAACCAAATCCTTCAACAGAGAGAGAATCCCTTTTCCAAATCCTTTCTACTTTTGAACAGGCAGTTTACTTTGGGCAGCAGACACTTATCTGGACATCTGGGATGCATGCACTTAAGTACATGCCTATACTCTGGGCAACTTGACTGTAACTGTAGTATTCCTTTGTTATTCCCCCACACCTTGCAAACTGTAACCTGCTTCCCTTAACTCTCCATCCCACCCTTACTGTATCTGTATTGTTTAGAAACAAAAACTACCTTAGGGGCTACCCTTACCTGTCTGTCAGGCAGGCAAAGGGCCAAAACAGGCTTCACACTGCTATTGGTGGTCTTCCAACTCCCCCAGTATTCATGGTTTTATCTTATGAAAAGATAACATGTGGCTTCTCTAACCAACATCAACAATTCCCAAAGTAAGAGGCGCTAGAATTCCGGACTGCCTTTATATCAGACTATTTGTTTATGGGGGGCTTTCTGCATACACATAGGGCTGATCCACACTTACTTTTCCCTGGAAAGAGCGGGGCAAAGGGTAAATGTGGATAAGCCCTTAAACTCACTTCACGTGTTAACTGTTCCATGGCTGAACCCTGGGCACTGAAAATAGCTTAGCCCTGGTGAATGAATCCTGGTTTAAATGAAATATTTGTAAGAACAGACTTGCACAAGTGCCTTTTTAAAACAATGAAATGATTAAAATCTGACCGCTTTTATTAAGTTACACATTACTGTTTTAGAAAACATCACAGGGTGCTCCAGGAAATTAAAGATGCAAACCCCAGGAATACATGCAACTGTAAGAATCATTTTAAAAATAAAGGTTCTCCTAATGTTCATACCGCTAAGCTAATGATTAGGTCTTTAATTCCAATCTAAAATGAACTTTTCATTGGTGGCAGCAAACAACACATGTGCCTTTCGTTTTTCTCAAAAAGGGCTTGTGAGAAGTTCCATGTTAATAAAAATAAAATATGACTAATAGCCTTCCCAACCTTGTGCCCACGAAACATTTTGGACCACAACTACCATCATCTTTGACTACTTATTGTGCTGGCTTAGGATGATGGGAGCAGTAGTCCAAAATATATGGAGGGCACCAGGTTGGGGAAGGAATTTCAACCTAGTTATCCAACACCCAACCTGGTGAAGCTCCCTCAACAGGTAGAGAGGAAATGTTGAGGGAGCTTCACCATTCTGACATTCTGATTGTCATGTAGCTGATAAAGGCATGCTGCAACCATATCCTAATTATAATTAACTACACAGCAAATAATGAACTAAACATTAGGTTCAAGAGAGTACATGACGAATTGAAGAGAAATTTGTCTCCCTTTGGGCATGCAGAATTAGTTGTTTAGCTGTAATATCCGAGTTGCCTTTCAGTTTGGCAAATATTCTACACAAATTACAAAAACCATCCCTTCAAGTACTGTAAGATGGGCTTATGGTAACATGACTTTTTGAGATCAGAGCTAAAATCCATTGACTCTATAGAAATATTAGTTCTCTTATCCATTATCCAAAACAAAGCTATCACTATGTAAATATATTTACAGCATATTTGCTATCCCAGAGAAACAACACAAAGCATCGAAAAGATATGCTGCACTCTGCCAACTCAGCACAATCTCAAACTTTCCAAGTCTATGTCAATTCAAGGCTAATACTATTGGAAATCTGGCAAGGGGCCTTTCCCTATTAACTAAAGCAGCAACACTATAGATTGCTACTACCATATTGGCTTGAATATAAGCCTCACTTTTTCCCCAAATTCCGTGAAAAGTTAAAGTGTAGCTTATATTCGCGACCTTATGGTATGCAGCCAGGAGTGCGGGGCAAACAGCGCCAGGAGTGCGACAAAGCACTGCCCGCCCCCCGCGTAGTCCCCCGTCCTTCCCTCAAGGCCGGGAAGGGAGAGACTGAGGAAGGGGAAAGGCCGCCGGCAATGCAGCATGGCTCCCCCCCCCCCCCCCGCAAGTATGCAGCCAGGAGCAGCGAGGAATGGAACAGCTTATATCTGGGTGTTTTTTCCTTTCCCCCCTCCAATTTTAACGGTGCGGCTTATATTCGGGTGTGGCTTATATTCAGGTTAATATGGTACTTCAATACAGCACAACTGGATTTATAGGCCTAAGTCATAATAGTTAGGGTTCCCACAGCAACATCCAATACTCTCCCAGGGGTGTGTGCATATACGGTAAAGGACCCCTGGACAGTTAAGTCCAGTCAAAGGCAACTATGGGGTTGTGGCACTCATCTCGCTTTCAGGCCAGTTACCTTGAGTTGAGAACTTTGCCCCAGGATTAGAATGGAAATCATGTGCCGACCGTGCAGCGGCAGCAAGAGGCCCCATTAGCGAAAGCACGCCTCTAGTTAAGAACAGTTTCAGGTTAAGAACGGACCTCCGGAACGAATTAAGTTCATAACTAGAGGTACCGCTGTAAATATATATGCTTCTGCCCCTGCTCACATTGCTTACCAAGCTCCCTGCTGCCGTCACCCTCCTTGCTAGTCCCATCCCTCCCTTGACGCCTCACCCAAATCCGCCATCACCTCCTTCAGCCTCCCCATTCCTACAAAGCAACTCCGGCCTCTCTATCTCTGCAGCTCCGCTCCCTCAAACCCTGCACTCCCTCACAGCCCCTTCAAGCCCCTTACCTGCCCCAGCTCCTGTGTCCCTCTATTTCAGCTTTACTCAAACTTTTTGCTCTTCTTTAAAACTCCATCTTAAATCATGCCTCGTGTTTGCTCCCCTGCCCCAAAATCATGCAAATCCAGGATTGTGATGTGGCTCTACAAATCCTCCAATGGCAGCATTACATTTTTATGTAGAGAAAGAGAGAGAGAAGTAATAGGACTTTAAAGTAAAGGTAAAGGGACCCCTGACCATTAGGTCCAGTCGTGACCGACTCTGGGGTTGCGGTGCTCATCTCGCTTTATTGGCCGAGGGAGCCGGCGTACAGCTTCCGGGTCATGTGGCCAGCATGACTAAACCGCTTCTGGAGAACCAGAGCAGTGCACAGAAACGCTGTTTACCTTCCCGCCGGAGCGGTACCTATTTATCTACTTGCACTTTGACGTGCTTTCAAACTGCTAGGTTGGCAGGAGCTGGGACCGAGCAACGGGAGCTCACCCCGTCGTGGGGATTCGAACCGCCAACCTTCCGATCAGCAAGTCCTAGGCTCTATGGTTTAACCCACAGCGCCATATTTCCAAACTACCCTATAAACACTGCTAAAGAGACAGAGCTGTATGAGCTACACACATTTCAAAGCATTTGAGTAATGCTAACTTTCTTCCCTTTGGGCAGCAGCAGCCCGCATAGTGTGTCAGATTGCTTAGAAACCCTGTTCAGCATCAAAAATAGTTTTCCACATGCCATGAACTCTAGGATTGCTGCCATCTGATTCTTTATCACTAGAGATAGCTCAGTCGGTAAAGCATGAGACTCTTAATCTCAGGGTTGTGGGTTCGAGCCCCACATTGTGCAAAATATTCCTGCATTGCATGGAGTTGTACTAGATAACCCTTGTGGTCTCTTTCCAATTCTAAGATTTCTGGTGGGTTGCTGCTTGATACACGAATGCAAGTCTAAAGCCCCCTTAGACACTTAGCTGTAGCCAAGGGTTTTCTCTGAATCTCCGTTGTTAGTATGCTGAAGGGTAAAGTTCTTCTATCTTTTTAAAGCAGACCTTGATGTGCTTTTTAGTAATCCACAGCCTCTCAGACTCTCTTATTAAGAAAGTTTTGGAGTGAAGGGAGAGAAAAAACCTTGAAAAACATACATAAATAGTTGACCCAGCTTCATCAGAGACTTCTAGCCGACAGCAATGCCCATCAGCTTCACTGGTGGACTTAGCCATGCTGAATCCAGCTACCACCACGATGTCCTATAGAGAAGAGAAAATGCATCATTATTACTATTAGTTATCATATTTTCAGAGTCCTTAAGTGATCAGATCATTTGATGAAACATTTCCCTGGATCTTCAGAAAATATGACAAATCCCTGCTGATTAGGAAAGCCTCCGGAAAAGAAAAATGTAAAGGTATGATGCAACCAAAGTTTCAATATGAAATATTTATGTACAGGTCTAAAATTTCCACTGAAATGTGTCATTAACGTTAGCTGGGATAGTGTTTGGGGAAAGCAAAGGCCTTAAGTGATCTCCATCGAAATAGTTTAAATCAAGAATTGCATGGGGAATATTCAATGTTAGTCATATTTGGAGCAGACCCACTAAAATCAATGGACATATCTATAGATTTTAATGAATCTACCCTGAGCATTAGATATTACCCACTGTCAAAAATCAAATGGTATCAATTATTTTAAAATTAATTCTTGAGATTCCTGCATTTGCAGGGGGTTGGACTAAATGACTCTTGCGGTCCCTTACAATTCTACAATTCTATGGTTCTAATTACATATTTTAGCATACACAGGTGTTCCAATGATCTGCAGGTCATCAGTGAACATAGATGTTTCATTACAAAAATTTACAATTCATCTTTAATAAGACTAGGGCTTCATGGACTGAATGTTGCCAGTATTTACATAACAAAAGAGTAGCTAAATATTTTATCTGTGACAAACAAGAAGTTGATAAATCAAGAGGATCAATCATATGGAACTTAAATGGCACTTTTTGAAAAATGCACCGAAGAACTGATTTCTGACTACTGGAGTGAGCAAAATGGCCTTTTCGGTACTGTGAAGATTAGGGGGGGGGGACACAACAACTCTTCCAACAAAACAATATAGCAAGCTGAAAAATTCAAATAGCTTGAAAGGTGATGAACAATCTAAGTCACTTATAGAAGATATTTGTTATAAAAATTCTGAGATGACTGCAAAACTCAATTCTAAAAGGTCTCTTTGCCAGTTGTATAAATCAGAAAGAAAAATAGTTTCTGCAATCCCTCTGCTTCCTCCTATACAAATAAGGTATTTGCTCAACAGCCAAACTGACGTTAACGTCAAAGGATGTCATTTTATGGAGACTGACTTTTGTAATGGCACTTTCCATTATAGCATTTTTAAGTAGTGTGGGGTTTGTTTGGTTTTTTTAAAAAAAGAAATGTCAGTGATTTGAAATCTAAGCTGAAGCAATAATGGAATAACACTAGCATAAAATAGTCCTGGATTGGGGGTCGAGGTTATGTACCAGTTTGCAAGAATAAGTAGTGTAGAAAGTTATTATTCAAACAGGAAAAGTAAAATACATACACACATTTTCTGATTTCTACAGGAAAGTGACAAAGGATAAACTCTTTCTGTGCATGTTTTTTTTGAAGCTAATGTCAAAAAGGGGATGTAATCTACATGAAGTTAGGCAAATGCATCCCACTAAAATCAATATAAGTTCTACAGTGAAATCTGATTCATTTCAGTACAACATAGTCAAACTTCACTCTCTCCAATTAGTGGCCCAAATCAGAAAGTATAGTTAGCAAATCACTATTACTTGATTCTGTTATTATGAGGTCCCTATCTGATCCATCCAACATGGCAAATGGAGACTCAGGAGGGTTGTGTACCATTTGCAGATTTTTAGATTAAAATAAAAATGGGGGGATATGATAGAGCAGTGGTCCCCGATCGGGGGTCTGCGGACCCCAATGGCTCTGCGAAACCCACCCAGGGGGTAAAAAAACTACCACAGAGGGATAGTGGTATACACAAAATTCAATATATACTTATACCACAGAGGGCTTAAACACAACACTTCATATTTGTTTTTCCAGTAAAAAAATTAGCTAGGCACATTTAGCACCTATTGGCCCCTTGCAACCAAGTGAAGATGCCTGGGTGAAAGGATGGTGCCTGACAGCTCCACCATCTGGAGGTACATGCTTGGGGATCACTGCATCTTGACTGTTCTGACACACTAATACCACATCCTCCAGAATTCTATCAGTTACATTTTATCTGCACAATCATAATGAATTTCAGGAACCAAAATGGCAACTAGGCATTCTGCTTTGGCAACTGTAACCTTGGTTTAAGGAGCCATTTGGCACCTAGCTTATATATCTGAATTTCTAACACTAACTGGGGAGTACATGGTATTTAAAGCTCACTTTTAACAAGAACAGGAAAGAGAAACCCATTATCCAAAGCAAGTGTGAAAACCTGTAGCTTGGCAGATGTTTTTGGACGCCCAACCACAATCAGCGCCAGGTAGCATCCTCTTGCCAAATGTTAACGATCTATCACTCTCAAAGACTGGCGTGTTGAATAATCAAAATCAAATGTAGTAACGTATCATTTATATTGATGATTTTGGGGAATGAATAACAAACTGCAGAACTGTTAAATTAACACATCATTCAAATAGATTGTTGACTATGCAGATCAGGGAGAGGAATCTGTGGTCCTTCAAATGTTCTTGGACTCCACCTCCAATCATCCCAGAGAGCATGAGAGGGGATGAAAAGAACTGTAGTTCAGTAACAGCCAGAGGGGCCACAGGTTCCCAGCCTGCAAACATAAACAGAAAATGTGTAGAGAATAAAAGAGAATACATTTACATTCTGTAATTGTATTCCCAAGTTACTAAGAAACATGGACATAACTTTCAAAAGGCAAGCGCCAAATTTTAATTACTGCTTGAAGATCTTAGTTTCTTAGCTCAGGATCTCCCAGAAAATTACCTTGCACCAGCACCAACTGCAACTTTTGGAAAAGCACACTTGCAAGTTTTGCCCAGCTATATTCATTTCAGCTTGCCTTGCACAGGTAAAATTATTGACGGGACAGGCTTTGTTTAGAAAACCGTATGTGAACTGTGGCTTTCTCAGGGTCAGCCTTCTTTAGTAGAAAAGCAATTAAGAAGCAGGGCATCAAACTACTGAAATACTGTTTCACTGCTTTCTTGTTATGTCCAAACATAGCACCTTGTTTATCCCTATTGACTCAAAGGAGTTACAGCAACAATGCTGTTTCTAGTTAAGTCAAGCCAAGCTGGTGGCTAGATTTAAGTGCTCTCTCTCTCTCTTTCTGAGAGTCAAATGCCCTGTATATTAACATCTTCAGTGCTGGCCCAGATCCACCTGCTTGCTCTGAGTGAGCAGCTGGATATCTTTCAGCAGTGAAGAAGTTAAAGGTACTGGATTTTCCAGCATGCAGCACTTGCCATCTAAGATTGCAGATGTCAGCAGTTATTGGACCATTAGCAGTCAGGTTAAAGAGAAGAAAGAGGAAAAGAGAGCTATCCACGTTGCCTCTCATCCCTCAGCTTATTACCTGGCAAACTCCAATGGAAGCAAGGGGGGGGGGGGAGAAGGTTGATAGACTGCACTACTGACAGGCAGGGAAACTAAGCTAGATACCTGAGAAAATGAAAGTGAGCACAGGGAATTGCAATGCAAGTTAAAGGCTCCTTTACCTTAGTTATTCCTGGCATTGTCTGAGTTTTAAAGTGCCGTCTCAATTTTGCCTGCGCCCCCTAAGTACTTCCAGATGGATGTGCTCTTCCTGAGAAGCATTTTAGCCTCAGCGCTTCATCTTTTGCATTCAATCTTGTACCAACAACACTCCCGTTAGCTTTTACTGCATGTCTTTTGTCCGTGTGTTTACTTGATTACAATAAATAAAAGAGCTTTCCGATTAAGGCTGAGTTTTTAGCAAACTGCGGCGCTATGATTGCTCTTTTTGCTACTTCAGCAGTCTCTGATGATATTCTTTTAAATGACTGAAAACCCCAAACCTTAATGTTTTCTGGGGTGGGTGGGAGACTGCTAACTTAAGTGATACAGACAGATTCAATTGATTAAAAAGGATTAGAACAAATTCCAACAAAGCTTAATGTGCAATGGAATTACCAGGGTGCAATGAATTTTATTCCGTACCACCATTTTGGGAGGGGGGCAGGAGAGTTAGTTATGCCACTGTTCCATCTTCCTTTCAATAAAAAATGAGAAATAACTCTGTAACAAAGCAACTAAAAAATCCATGGGTAAAGTTTCTTACATTTGAACCACAACCTGCCTTTAAGAAATGGGGAGGGGAAACCTTAAGCATTTGTGGACAATCTTACTTAGTTATCAAAAAGGCACCTAACTCAGGCACAATATCTGCTTGATATTTCAAAGAAGTGATTTTAAACTGTCTTTTGTTGAGCCTTTGGCTAATTAAACAATCTGGCCGTTTAAACTGGGTGGGGGGGTGGGGTGTTGTTTTTGTTTGTTACCATGGTTTGTATTTTTGTGTTTTTATACTGTAAACCACCCTGTGATCCTCGGATGATGGGCAGTATAGAAATTGAAAGAATGAGTGGAGGAATTTCCAATGAACTCAACATGGCATATATTCCGAAGAGCCACACACAGGACTGCAATGTACATTTCTAAAATTGGTGTAAAGTAAGTCATAAACCAAAAGAGCTATGCTCCTGGATATTTCATTCCCATTTCAGCATTTTCAGATGTTACTGCATGCATAAGTTATTTTGGAGCTTGGTTGCCAAGTAAGGGTTGGACAGCTGACTAGACTAAATTTTATATTGGTGCAGAATGAAGTAGTTCAGAATGTAATCTAATTTTTTTTTAAGTTTTACACCAGAATGGCTCCACAACTTGAGTGTATAGTTCATGAAGAATGATGCTTTTGCTCTTAGCACTAAATTATGAAATGCACCCATTACCAATACAGAAATTCATAACACTGGTATATCTTCTACATATGCTTAATATGCAAGCATCAAGCACATTTGGTGCCATATACAGTAATTTTTTGAAAATACTGGTATTCATAGGAGCAACATAATATGCATTTATCCTTTCTATGTTACCGTTTAAATCTCCCATTGGGGAACCCCCAATTCCTTGCATCGCAATTTACTATTTAAATGAATTACTTTTTTTAAAGAAACAAAGTTCAACAGGCTTGCTAAAATGGCCTGATCACTAAATTTTGTGTTTTTTAAAGGAACTGAGATTATCCTCCTCTATCATATTCATAGTAAGCCTCTTAAAAACCACACGCACAAGTCCACATAACCACGACTCAAGTCACAAGGGAGGTGTGAATATTCTGTTGCTAGTTCAACTCTGTTTGAAGTTTCCAGCTCAAGGGCTGTAGTTTCCAGTACAGGTCCTCAGTACTGATCTCTGTGATCTCCTAATTGGTGCTTTGGGCCTTGTTTTACTACTTCTCCTTTTATCAAGAAGGGTGCAAAGCGCTAATTAAGTTTCAGACACTTTAAACGATGTGGTAGAAGAGTTAACTTGAAATCATTTCTCAGTGCCCAATCTATACTATAATACTGGCAGGTAGACGACCACTACCACAGGGCCTCCCCCCCCCCCTTTCCTTTTTTCCTTTTACACATCTTCTGCTGTGCTGGGATAAAAGTCAGCAAGCAAAGCTGCTCATTACAAATTGGGGAGGGAAACTAAATAGAAAGACATGACCGGTAATTACCATAACTTTCAACTGGGCAGATAACTAGTCTTAAGATGTTTACTTATGAAGGGCATTTAGGGGGGGAAAGGGGGTGTTCAACTATTCAATACCCTTTTGAAATGTGGCTCTATTTGGGGGGGGTTGTTATTGGGTTATTGCTCTTATTTTGATTTTATATATTATGATCTTTTCTGTGAACCACCCTGAGACCTCTGGGTATAGGGCGGTATATAAATTCAGTAAGTAAGTAAAGTTTTCTTGGGGTTGACCTACTGAAATTAATAGACCTAACTTCGTCATGGACATTAATTTCAGTGGGTCTACTTTGAAAAGAACTTAGTTGAAGACTACCCATGGCTCATACTGGACTTCAGAAAGAGAGGCTAAATAGTTAGTCAGGCAGTTAAAGCTGGAAAACAGTTTTAAAGACAATCCCAGTTGTTCCAGAAAGTGTAGATAATGGGTGTCTCCTGTATCTCAACAGGAATGCTGTTCCATGGAACAGGCAGCCCCACTAACCAGTGTTAGAATCTCAAATACATAAGCTGGGAGCCAAATGGCTCCTTAAGACAGAGTTACAGTCACCAAAACAGAACGTCTAGTTGCCATTTGGGGGGCCAGACGGATCAAAAGTCATGTTTTTCAATACAACTTTTTGGTTCCTGAAATTCATTCCGATTGCGCCATTAGAATATCACAGATAGAATGCTACAGGATGTGTTCCTACTGTGTGAAAACAGTCAAGATCCAAGGATCCTGAGGCATGCAGCTCCAAATGGTGCAGACGTTAAGCAAAATGTGCCTGGCCACTTTCAGACGCTGTAAATTCACCTGCTATGCATTACTGTGGAGCAGGCTTCTGAGATCCTTAGGCCTTGAAGGAAAAACTGTCCTGCAGAGCAGATCTCAGTGACCTGTTGGGTATGTAAGTAACTACAGCAAGGGTTGGAAACTTGTGCTCCTCCCCAACCACTGGTCATGTTGGCTGGGGCTGATGGAAGCTGGAATCCGACAACATCTGGTTCCCTGTCACTGAGGTGGAAGACAAGAGTACTATTTGGAAGAGGTGTTTCTTTCTGTTTTGCCATTAGGTGATGCCATAGTGCTGTTCAAGCAAACAGTACTGTATCAGATTCCAATGATGAAAAGGAACACAAATACAGCTTTAATACACGAAATACGTGGGTGAATAGCACCCAGGGATTTCGGGCCACAGAGGCTACTCATTTGAACACCAGTCAGCACCTTAACCCGGTCAAAAAGGCAGCCGCATGCATTGATCGTGTAAACACACTTAGGTCAACAAGATCAGTAGAAAAACAGTTCACAAGAAATAAACATCTAAGAATGAAAGAAATAAAAGCATTTACCCCTTGATGTACAACGCTGGCACACTCCTCTGCCAACTTCCCAAACATATAAGTATTGATAGCACCGGCCTTAGAACATGGGTTTTCTGACTCTGAAAGACACACAGGAACAGTGACACTGTAACATTTATCTGAATATACTAAAGGAAAGCCTTGCAGCTCTGATTTCACAAGGGTATCGCAAATGCTGAGAGGCCAGGGACATTAAAATACACTCAAGCCTGTGAGCTATGAAACTAAGGGGGGGGGGGGAAATCTATGTACATAAGGCGGCTCCCGAAAGGCCAGAGTAAGGACCACGAAATGAGCTCTAGTCTACCAGGCTTCAATGAAGCATACAGCAGCAGGTTGCAGTTGAAAGTCCAGATAACCTTGCTGGCGAGGACCAACATCAAAAGACAAGATGTATGATAAGGATGGTGAATTTTTAAAAAGGGTAGAGGAAGGCCTAGCCTCTGTTGTCTATGCTCTGGTAACTTTTAGGATAGACTGCTGCAATGCATAATATGTAGGGCTGCCTTTGAAGATGGTTTGGAAATTACAGCAAGTGCCGAATTCAGCAGTGAGATGGCAAGATGGCAAGCTTCCAATTCATTTCCTGGCTTGATTCAAAGTGCGGGTTTTGACCTATAAAGCCTTCTACAACTCAGGACCCCAGTAACTCCAGGACCACCTCTCCTATGAACCAACCCAGAGCAAGAGCTTATCATTCAAGGCCCTTCTTTTTGTGCAAGGGAGGTATTGACAAAAGAGCAGGCTTCTCAGTCACGACTCCCCAGTTATGGAATGCTCTCCCAAGGGAGCAGCCACCATTACTTATTTAGGCCCAGGCAAAAACATTTCTTTTTCAGTAGGCCTTTAGTTTTTGATAATCCATGGTCTCCTTAGTGGGATGGGATGTTTTAGGTCTTCCTTTTTCAAAAATATGAATGCTTCAGATTTTGCTCTCTTAGTGTCATGTTGGTTTTACTGTATTTGCTATTCCTTTTCTGTTGTAAAGTGGTTTGAGGTACTTTGTTTAAAAAGTGAACGATAAGTTAAATAAATAATATTATCATTTGAAAAATACTTTTTTAGTTCAGAATTCCAGATGCCTCCTCAAATAAATTATTTATCCCATTTGTAAAAGCATATGACACTGGGTTGTTGTTGTTTTTAGATCTTACACTATATCTGTTATTATCCCCATTATTGCAGTCCCACAACTTTTGCCTGTGGTGCACAACTAGCACAACCAATAACTATATGTTAAAATACCTTGAAGTATAATCTTGAAGAAAGATGTCCCGTTTCCCACTTTACTTAATGGATAGGAAGCAGCAACTGTTCCCTGAAATGAGAAATTGGGGGGGGGGGTCTAATTAGCAAGTCGAAAATATTTCCAATAGAAAATATCAATCATATTCATTACTTGACCCAGACCTTTCAGATATGTGCATGATCTCTGCAACAGCAGCGTCACATCAGGTTTTACAGTGGCAGAACAATTAACAAAGTGCTTCATAAAATATACAAACCTGTAATTGCTTTCTTCATCTGTATCTAACAACCTAACTGCAATCCTGAGCAGTCAATCGTCAGTCTCATTTTACAAATGGGGAAGCATGGCGGGACCAATTGCTCAATATCTGTCCGCTACTTTCTGGACCATGGGACACGGGTGGCGCTGTGGGTAAAAGCCTCAGCGCCTAGGGCTTGCCGATCGAAAGGTTGGCGGTTCAAATCCCCGTGGCGGGGTGCGCTCCCGTTGCTCGGCCCCAGCGCCTGCCAACCTAGCAGTTCGAAAGCACCCCCGGGTGCAAGTAGATAAATAGGGACCGCATACCAGCAGGAAGGTAAACGGCGTTCTGTGTGCGGCTCTGGCTCGCCAGATGCAGCTTGTCACGCTGGCCACCTGACCCAGAAATGTCTCCGGACAGCGTTGGCCCCCGGCCTCTTAAGTGAGATGGGCGCACAACCCTAGAGTCTGTCAAGACTGGCCCGTACGGGCAGGGGTACCTTTACCTTACTTTCTGGACCAAAGAATGTTGGTAGAACAGAGAGTCCTGTACCTCTCAAGAGAGTCCTCAATAACTTCCAAGTAAATGGCAAGTATTTTTTTTATGGTTTGCAGCTGACCAACAAAAGCTAGGCTTCCAGCTGCATGATGACCACTCCTACTCCAACTACATCCCATATTCATTTGTGCTCTGCATAAAACATGACAAACTTAAACCCTCCTCAGGTGTTTAGCCTCCATCCCCAACCCTTGTGCCAGCCCCATACTCCAATATCCCTGTGGGAAAGTGAAGGGACTTTTTAAGCATGTTTGGTTAAGCAAGTCTTGAGCAGAGGTGGGGAATCTGTGGCCCTCCAGAGACTGTCGAACTAGTTTCCATCACCCCCAGCCAATAACTGTTAAGGACAGTGGGAGGTATAGTTTAGTAACATCTTGAGGGCCACAGGTTCTTCACACCTGGCTTAGGAGCTTCCCCACAGCCAGGGATCCTGTATTACAGTGTTTCCCAAACACGGGTATCCAGCTGTTGTTGGACTCCCATCATCCCTAGCTAGCAGGTCAGGGATGGTGGGAGTTGTAGTCTAAAAACAGCTGGAGACCCAAGTTTGGGAAACACTGCTGTATTATCAGAGCTCCTGAGTGTTAACAGGCTTTTAACCTGGACAGCTTAATGCCCTTTGTAGCCCACTCCAGACCTTCCCACTCAAAGCAGGACAGTTTGAATGGAATGTACACACCTAGTTGCACACTGTGATGTTAGGATGTGGGTCTAGTGCAGGAGCCCCCAGCTATCTACACACTTTTGCCCAAAATTTTCAGCCCAAATGCCCAAGAATTTTCAGCCTGAATGCCCGAAATACTGCTCTTTCTTGCTCTGCATATCCCCCTCTCTCAGCTAAGGATTAATTCCTGTGCATATGAAAAAATATGGCCCATCTGAACCTATGCCATGGCAGCTTTTAACTTTTAAGGAGTTTGGTGTTTTAAATTCAGAAAATGTTTATTTATTTACATAGCAGTTCTCATGTAACCAAATCGTTTATCAAACTGTGTCGTGTTTCAATACTGTTATAGAAAATATCTTTAAAAATCATTGGGCTGGATCTAGAGTCATTGTTCTGTGAATGGAAAGGTTCCTTCCATTTGTCGGAGGAACATTTGCCCAGCAGTTCCCACTTAACGAAGTCCAAGGGAATTAATTTTTGCTGATTCACTCTGTAGCGACTAGCAAAACTTAGCCATGCTGTTCTGGAGGGTCCCCCAACAATCCAGAGCAGCTTTTCGGGGGCAGGAGGAGCAGGAATGTGTAAAAATCACCTCCCCTTTCTTCAGCGGAGCATCACATAAGCATAACAATGCCACAAATATGGGCTCCAAACCTAGCTTCTACATTTGATCTCTCCTTCCTTGGAAGCTTTTAAGCAGAGGTTAGGTGGCCTTCTGTCATGGATGCTTTAGGTGAGATTCCAGCATTGCAGGGGGTTGTACCAGATGACCCTTGGGGTCCCTTGCAATGGTATGATTCTATTATTCTTTTATTAAAAATGTTTTATACAACTCTAAGATTCTATGATTTCTCAAGATAGACCAACCTAAGGTCCACAGTTTTAAGCTTGCCATGGCAAATTTTCCACTGCTCTCTGCGGATGATGCGCCCAACCTTTCATCCCAACCTTGGGGCAGGAGAGTGGGCAAATATTGTCCCTGCAGATCTGTTTCACTTTGTACTTGGGAGCAGTGCTCAAAATTCGCCAGGTGTGTTTTGCACCTGGCTGTCGGTCACTTGTGACCAATAAAGATGTCTGGGTGCCAGGATGGCAACTGATGTCTCCGCCATCTTGGAGGTGCATGCCTGGGGATCCTTGGATCTTGACTGTTTTCACATACTAGCAACACACCCTCTAGAATTCTATCTGTGATACTTTAGCTGCACAATGAATTTCAGGAACCAGAAACGACTTTCAATCAGTCTGGCCCCAAAATGGCAAATAGACATTCAGTTTCAGCGACTGTAACCCTGGTTTAAGGAGCCATTTGGCACCTAGCTTATATATCTGAGCTTCCAACAGTCCTTGGGAGTACTGCAAAAAAGCAAGGCAACTGTGGGGATGCTCCAAGCTACCCAATTCAGAATGTGGGCCAGATCCGGAAATAATTTTCCTCCCCTGGCTTGATACATGGTATATTCTTTGTCTCTCAAGAATAGTGGAATTTCTTGAACGCTGCACATGTTATACATAGCTGAAGGAGTCAGGTGCAGTTAACAGACCTGTGTATTAAACTGCCTGAATTACAACTTGCCTTTTTTCCTCTGGCATCTCTGCTTGTACACCAAGGATATATTTGTCTGTTCTGAGCCTATGTATTACACGGCAATCACACTTGAACAACAGTAAATATGCAGTACAACCACTGTGATCATCATAATATATTTGAAAGCTGCTTCCAGGTAGAAAGCAGATGTGCGTCCTCCAGAGCAATCCCTGGCACATTAGCAGATGCCCCAATAACTGCTTCTGTCAAATTAACAAGAGCTAGTTTCCTTGTTAACCGTGTTCTTTGTGCCAGCCTTTCACAGTCACCTAGTTTGTTTGCTTCTTCAGGCAGCTTTCAGATGCATTAAATTCTCTCCTCACCATGAGGCAAGTTTCCTCGGAGGAAATTATCTATCACAATCAAATGGAGTACTGAACATATATTTTGCACCAGCGCCAGCACAACGAGAAATGGCCTCTCTTTGAACACAAACCAACTGTGGCAGTGATCTTTAACAACTTTAAACGGCATTCACCCCCCCATCTCCACCTCGGTGCCCCATATCTATTTTAGAAATCAGCCATAGATTATATTCCTGTACCGATACATTCCACAGGACTGGGCTGATGACACTAAACACTTGGTTTCTTGTTGTTGTCAGATACGCCTTGACAACTTGGGGGATAAAGAACAACTCTCCTGCAGATGATCTTAGTAAACAAGCTAAGATATAAGGGTTTAGGTGACCCATAAGGTACCCTGGACTTAAGTTGTACAGGGCCTTGTAAATTAACACAAAGACTTTGAACCTGGCTCAGTAGTAGATGGGCAGCCAGTGCAGATGTTTTAATAAGGGTGTCACATGTCATCAGCAGTGTTAGAAACTCAGATATATATAAGCTAGGTGCCAAATGGATTCTTAAACCAATGTTACAGTTGCCAAAGCGAAATGTCCAGTTACTATTTTAGGGTAAGACAGCTCAAAGGCCTGATTTTTCAAATGATGGACCAGCTGTGATTAATTCTCAGTTAAACATCTGGCTAGTTAAGATGATAACCTTGAGCTAAGTTAAGAACTTAAAGAACTTAAAGGACTTGAAGAAAAGTCATTTGATCCACATCCTATTCAGACCTCTTTTTCCTAATGGTGACTACTCCTGCTCAGGCTGTACAGAAAAAAGCATTTTGATTCCTGAAATTCATTCCGATAGTGCAGATAAAATAAATCTGATAAAATTTTACAGGGCGGGCTATGAGTGTGTGAAAACAGGCAAGATCCAATGATCCCCAGGCATGCACCTCCAGATGGTGGAGATATCAGGCACCATCCCGGTGCCCAGGCAGCTTCAATTGGTCACAGGTGGTCAAAAAACAGGTGCAAAATGCACCTGGCTAATTTTGAACACTGGTTGTTTAAATGCCCCCCCTCAGCAAGTGACTAACATTTCTTGACCAGAGGGCCATGTTCACTCTTGAACCCCTAGCAGGAGGATGGTACGTACATGCTGGCAGGCGTGGCCAGTTAAAAAAGAAAGAAAGAAGGATGCAGTCCTTTCTGCAACATGTGGCTTTCAATCCAAGCAGAAGACACACTGTATACCCTACAACCGTTCTCCATGCCTCACTGAAGGTGGAAGTAGCAGCTGAAACACTGATGTTGCCAGGGTCATTGTCAAAAAGCTCTCTTCCCAAACTGCAGCTTGTTAATCAAAAACTGATATTGAGCCTTGGACCTCCTTACACCCTCCATACCTCTCCTGAAGCACTACATCCAAGGAATGTCTCCAATGTATAAAGATAACTACTCTGATCTTCAAGCGCTAGAGATAGAAAGGTCTTCCTGGAGAAGAGTGTGAATTAAAAATACCTGACATCACAAAAATTCATGAGTCTTTTTAACCACCATTTTACCCTACATAAAGAGTAAAAGGTTGTATTGATTTTTCTTTTGTAATCCTCAGTTTGCTGTGACGCAAAAATACAATATTTGGCTTTATGCTGTACATGGAGATAAAAGTACCAAAGAAACACTAATGATGACTGAATTGCATGTTCTCGCTGAAAAGCTTTTTTCCACAGCAAACAAAATTCAAGTTTAACAGTACTATTCTCAGCTTACATCCCCAAGTGCCAGTAATGATAAAAGGCTTTAAAATTAAATTCATCATCATCATCAAATTAAAGCAAACATGTTGAAGAAGACTGGTCTCATGTGTTCTACTCTGTAAAGTTTATACAAGAGGCCTAATGTACCACCAGCACTAAGCACTTGAATTTAGAACACATTTGTAGCCACAGATGGAGCAACACAATGCGTATTCCTTGTTCTGAAACAGCTACTAGACAGCTGAAAATTATTGCTGCAAACTGTGCTGATTTTATGTTGAGGAAGTAAAAAAGAAAAGTTACAATGTGGTGCAGTTCCTCCAGTTTTTTGAAAAATGCCCATAAATCTGGAAGACTCCATTGATTCTTTTATAAGAAAAAAGAACTCCATTAAGTCACCAGACTGGAAATTTTTTTATCACAACACTTTTTAAAGTTTATGCCTTAAATGAAAAGCTCCCAAGCCATCTATATTTTTCTTCCAAGTTTACTAATGGTTCCAGTAATAAAAAAGCAATGCTAAGAAGAGAGAGCATGCTATGACTATATGGATAAGACAAAGCACAGGATATTTTTAATTTTAGCAACACTCAGTTAAGACTTACTTTCAAGTAAGCTTGTTCAGGATCTGACTATCAGAGTAGGGCTACCATGTCTCCAAAAAAGAAGTGAGAATAGACAGGGAGCAGTATACAAATTTAATAAATAAAATAAACATTCACAAGTACAGTGGTATGTACCTCAGTTGTCAAATGTAATCTGTTCCGGAAGACTGTTGGACTTTCGAAATGTTCGACAACCATGGAGCAAAGGGCAGTTGACAAAGTCAATGGAAAAAATAGAAAAACACACATTGGAAGTCATTCGACTTCCAAGACGCTTTCAAAAATGGAAGCAATTACTTCCGGGTTTTCGGAATTCGGTTACCGAATCATTTGGCTTCCGAGATACTCGAAAACCGAGGTATCACTGTAACTTGTTACAATTTTTAACTGATTGAGAAGTGCACTTAAGTTACAAGCTTCTGCTTAAAACGCCTACAAATCAGGAGTGGTTCACATGTATATGGGAGCTTTCACATACTTAGGGTAGGAAAGATCAGTGGAGCAACTCTCAGGAGTGTTCAACTAATGGAACCCAAGTTAACTTAAATCTATAAGAAGCTGATGGCTACAGAAAGAAGGCAGGCAAAACTATTGCATAAAAGAAAATTTGAAGCAACTGACGCTGAGAATGTCCCTAGATCTTGCTCAGCACTAACCTAGTGATAAACAGCTTTGTTGTTGTTTTTACCAATAAAGCGGTGTATAAGTTTTATGAAACAATAAAATGTTAAATAAATAACCTAAGAACAACACTGCTGGAGCAGACGGAAGGCCTATCTAGTCTAGCATCCTGTTCTCACAGTGATGAAACAGATGTCTACAGGAAGCCCACAAGAAAAACTGAGCACAACATCAGTATCTCCTAGAAATTTGCAGCAACATAAAGCCTATTAAAGCTCTTCCCATGGCCATACACTCAACCGTCCTTTAAAAATAGCAAGAAAAGGCCATGGCAGTGCTACACAACTTGTGACCCATGAAAATGATCCCAGGCCCCAGTCATGTACTGCGGAAGGCATTCTTTTGCTATTTTTGTTTTGACTATTTACATGTGTTTTCACCTTGTATTTTACCCTGTGAACGGCCCTGAAATCTTATGATGAAGGGCGGTATATAAATCAAATTAATAACCAGTCCTTTTCGGGGGGGGTGTACCTGAACATTATTTAAAGAGATATTATAGTATGAAGAATCTGTGAGCAGGATTTGAACTATGAGCAGCAGAAAAAAACCTGGTTATTATTGTGTTATGGTTATGATATAAAAGAGGGAAATAGGGTGCAGCAAAAGGGGGGGGAACATGGGAAATGGGATGTGAAGTCTACATTATACAGATAGATAGACAGAGACAGACAGATGTATTGGAATTCTATGTGGAATCTGTAGAAATTTAATAAAATATATTTGGAATTTTTTAAAAAAAAGTTTACCTGAAGTCGAGATACACGTGCACACACACACACACACACACACATACGCGTGCACGCACGCACGTGCGCGCGCACACACACACACACAACTATTGTAATTCTATGTGGAACCTGTAGAAATTTAATAAAATATATTTAGGAATTTTTTAAAAAGTTTACCAGAAGTCGTTATGTCGAGACAAAAAGAGAGTCAGAGAGATACATAAATATACATACATATGCATATGCATACACATACACACACACACACACAATTATTGGAATTCTATGAGGAATCCGCTGAAATTTAATAAAATATATTTGGATTTAAAAAAAAAAAAAAACTTTACCTGAAGTCGATATGTCGAGAGAAAGAGAGAGATACACATATATATATTTATATACACACACACAAAAAAAGTATTGGAATTCTATGCGGAATCTGTAGAAATGTAATAAAATATATTTGCAAATAAATAAATAAATAAAATAATTAATAATAATGATGATAATGAGTTTACCTGGACATACTTGCTGGCGCAGTCACAGCCCACCTGCAAATGCTCGAAACCAACTTTTTGGAGGCTTCCCCGCAGAGAGTTTTCAAACACCCTGAAGGACCCCCTTATCTCTTCAAGAGGCATGGCGCCCCCGCTTCAAAGGCCAGTCAGGCCTCACAGGAAGGAAAGGCAGGAGCGACCCCTTCGCCCGTTAGGCAGCCTTATTTACATGGCAAAACGGGCCCGGGGGCTGAGGGGCGTTTTAAGCGCTTCGTGGGTTGCCGGCCGCGCGTGCGCAGCGGCTTCGTTCTCCTCTATGGTTCGCGGCGCCCAGACGTTACCAACGGAGCCAGGCGCACGCGCAGTGTGCTAAACTGAAGCTCCGCAGCGCCGGGCAACGCGAGCCGCGTTTCTGAGGCTTGGGCGGGGGAAGTAACGGTTGGAAGGGAGGTTTGAGTTCCTCCAGCTCTCTTTTCCTTTTGGACTACAACTCCCATGATCCCTAGCTCGCGGGCCCAGCGGTGAGGGAGCATGGGAAATGTAGTTATGTAGCTGGAGACCCAAGTATATGGGAAACAACTGGTTGAAATGCACAAATGAGATTCTTACTGAAATCAGTGGAACTTGCTTCTCCTGAGTAGACATACATAGGATTGTATTGGGAAATGGGTGCACAAAGACAGGAATATTTATTTATCTACTTATAGATGTATATAGTTTTAATTCTGTCAGCGTTAAACTGTCCATGTTGTGCTATTCTAATATTGTTGAATATTATGTTTTATTATGACTTTCTGTATTGGATCAGGTTATTATAAGGCGTGTGTTCTTTACTGTGTATTTTGTTGTTTCTGAAAACCACCTTGGGTATAGTTATATAGAAAAGCAGTATACAAATTAAAAGTGAAATGAAAATGAAAGAAAACTGTAATTTTAGTTTCTTTCTATGTTTTTAGCCGTTCTTGTTTTTAATCTCAATTCAGGTGGTGTTATGTACTGAGTTGAATAGGATCCAAAAGGCAGCAGTCTGATTGGTCCTAGAACAATAGGATCCAAAAGGCAGCAGTCTGATTGGTCCTAGAACAATAGGATTCAGAATGCAGCAGTCTGATTGGTCCTAGAACAATGCAGCAGTATGATGGGTTGGCAGGAACTACCCAATCATGCTCCAGATAGAAGTGAATCCACAACCTGATTGGCTTACAGTAGAATTCCGGAATTAGCCAATCATGTGCAGCCCATTGTGTAAATAATGTATATAAAGCAGATACTTTGAGGGGACATTCATTCATTCCTCCTCACCACTATGAGCTGAATAAAGAGCATGAAATCACTTTGCGACTCTGAGTATATTTCACTGGCGACGAGGATGGTAGCCGTGATGGTCTGACACAGTCGAAATAAATAAATAAATAGAAGTCCAGTAGCACCTTAGAGACCAACTAAGTTTGTTCTGGGTATGCTACTAGACTTTTTTTATTTGTTTTGAATTTGTAAGCCACCTGGAAATTATTATTATTATTATTATTATTATTATTATTATTATTATGTTACAAGACAGAATAGAGCAAAGAGTCCACACAAATTTGAGGTTTTCCTATTATTATTTATTAAATTTGTTTACTGCCTTTATCTGAAGATCTCAGGCCGGTTCACAGCATAAAAATACAAAATAGGGCTATCAGCCACAACTCCAAAATTTCTTTCCTGAATAGTTACAGCCAGTTCACATCTCATCAATGCATGTATGAAATTAGAATAATCATCATTATTTAATCCCAACACACACCACTTAATTATGTTCGGTCTCACCCATTAAATAGCTCTTTCTTTCCTCATCCATCTGCAGTTAGGAAAGAATTCCTAATCTACTTTGGGGGTTGCTGTTAAGAAGAGTATTTAAACGGTTGCAATTATCGTTCAGTCTAATGAAAGGGGTAGAATGAAATGTGATTAACTTGCATCCAAATTCTTAGAATGTTTACTCAGATGCATCTCTGGGTTGTTTGTGGGGCCTGCCTGGTGATTTTACATGAGTAGAATGTGTGCTTTTATTTAAAATGCATTTCTGGGTTATTTGTGGGACATAGGAATTTGTTCATTTCCCCCAAAAAATATAGTCCGGCCCACCACATGGTCTGAGGGACGGTGGACTGGCCCACGGCTGGAAAAGGTTGCTGACCCCTGGTCTAGTCCTCCTTTTCTGCCAGTTAGGAATTAAATCAGTTCAGTTTCACTAAGCACTGAAACTTAGTTTCATGGTCTGTGACTATAAGTGCTGGGAGGTAGAGAACCTAGGGTCAAGTTATTTCTCAACTGTTATTTCATTCACCACAACTGTGGAACATAGGATTGTCAAGGAAAGTCAGTGGAGGAAATGTCCTATTAAGTTTCATTCTAAAATGTAGAGGCCGAGTACCATATATAAAAATTTCCCACATGCTTATTAGAAATCTTCTGATTGCAAAACCTGTCACAAAAGGTTCTACAAAATGGTTTCTTTTTATATTTTGTTTGTTAAAAGAAATCTCTTGTCACTCACAGCGGCAAATGCATTCAAAAACCATTAAACCAAAAGCACGGGGGCATTTCAAATGTCCAAATTAATTCAAAAAAGTGGTGTGTGTTTTAGTGTGAGCATATGAGTTGGAGTACTTTGTTCTGCAAAGCAAGGAAGCCTATATTGACCTAATGGTTCAGAAACCAAATAAAAAAAAAGTAAATAACAAAATAAATCTAACGCAGGGAGAGAAAAACTAAATGATTTCATCAAAGAATGTGCCAAGAGTATCTGCAATAAATTCATTAGGGCATTATCTGAAGGCACATGAGCTAACCAACTTGCTCTAAGTAAGTAAAAGGTAAATGGATGGTTAAGTCCAGTCAAAGGCAGCTAGAGGGTGTGGCGCACATCTTGCTTCAGGCTGAGGGAGCTGGCGTCTGTCCACAGACAGTTTTCCGGGTCGTGGCCAGCAGGACTAAACTGCTTCTGGCGTGACAGGACACTGATGGAAACCAGAGCTCACGGAAACGCTGTTTACTTTCCCACCAAAGCGGTACGTATTTATCTACTTGCACTGGTGTGCTTTCAAACTGCTAGGTTGGCAGGAGCTGGGACAGAGTAACAGGAGCTCACCCCATTGTGGGGATTTGAACCACCGAATTTTTGATTGGCAAGCCCAAGATGCTCAGTGTTTAGACCACAGTGCCACCTGCGGCCCTTTACCCCTCTTTCTACATGCTGGCTGGCACACAGTGGTTCCTGACTCCCGCCACCAACTACGGTAGATTGACTAAATCTTTTGGCTGTGATAGTGTTTACTCTAGTGTCACAGGCAGCTTTAGGATCATCTCTCTGCTGTCAATGTGGGGTACATGACTCGTATTTCCCTTGTCTACCCATATAAATTTGAGGAAATCTGGTTGGCCACTAGGTAGACTTATGGTCTGATGCTGCAGGACCCTTCTGATGCCCTGATGCTGATCACATGATATTGCTGCAGGTATTGGCCCTGTTTACAACAAGCAGTGATCCAAATTTAAATCAGGCTGGGATTCCTCCCTTCATTTACTAAGTAGATGAGCTGAGCACTATCATTGCTCAGGACATTGCCTTAGAATAAGAGTTGCAGGCTGTTTCTGTTCTGTGAGGATGAAGCTACTTGCCTGGGTTCTTCTTTCTCTCCTGTTACGTACTGAGTTGAATAGGATCCAAAAGGCAGCATTCTGATTGGTCCTGGAACAATAGGATTCAGAATGCAGCAGTCTGATTGGTCCACAAGAGCCACCCAATCCAGCTCCAGGTGGAAGTGAATCTGCAACCTGATTGGCCTACAGGTGAATCCCGGAATTAGCCAATCACGTGGGGCCCATTGTGTAAATAATGTACATAAAGCAGACATTCTGGGGGAACTTCCATTCCTCCTCACCACTATGAGCTGAATAAAGAGCATGAAATCCACACTTGACTCCAAGTATATTTCACTCCCCAGTCTTTGGCCCCAAAACATTTCTATGCTTTTTTAAGTATTCTTGTCAAAAAGGTGCCTGAAAGTAACTATACTTTCATGTTTCTTACAGGAGTAGAACACTAAAGAAAAATTTCCTTTAATCCTGATGTTGATTTGTTCTATGATCTCAAGTGACACATATGAAGGTGCATAAATTCACATGCAGACACCTGGACAATAAAATCTGCTTTTCTGAGATGCATATTATTCATTCAACATCATCACTCAAAGTCCAGTTTTTAGTGGCGTACCATACATAACAGAACATGGTTGTAGTAGCTTAATTCTAGGCAAGATTTTGAAAAGTAGGACATACGACAGCCCACTGCCTAAATGTGAGAATGCTAAAGGAACAAACATCATTTGGCTTCTCTGTAACAAAATCCCAAGAGCCATGGATTTATTGCATGAAGAGAAATACAGCATGTGGGCACCTGGATGATCAACCATGGCAGTCCCCTAGACTGAGATTGTCCCACCCAAAAGGACATCTGTTGACTTCTGTGGCATCAAGTAACATAAGGAGAGTCCTACTCAACTAGTCCAGGGCCTTTTTTTAGCTGGTACTCACCGGAACTCAGTTCCAGCACCTCTCAGGTGGGCACCATGCCCATTCTAAGACAACAAGGGAGGCGTTCATGGTGAGCTCTGGCATCACTTTTTCTAGAAAAATAGCACTGACTAGAACAAAGGTCCATCTAGTTAGAATTCTGTTGTCAAATTGATTTCATGCCTTCCCTTCACTATAAAAACCTAGGGCAGGTTACAGCAAGTGAAAAGCACAGCAAGTGAAAACACATAGCCATGTCAAAATGCCAGAGATATTGGCTTAAAGCTGTCTGGGTCTGGACTGAGGAGGAATGGTGGGGACCGCCCCCCACTTCTCCTGAACCTTCCTGACAACAGGAGGACAGTATAGATTTAGAACAGTGGTTTGCAGAAGGGCATAGTTCAGAGGCTGCAGAGTGGAGAAGCTGGGAAATATTGGAAGAGGAACATCGGGAAGAAGAAGCACAAGGGGAGAGAGAGAGCTGACAGACTCAGTGTCCTTGGAAACCATTCCTGACCCCCCTCCCAGGACCAGTCGGGCATTGAGGGTAGTAGAACAGAAAGCTCAGAAGCAGAAAGCTCAGATTAACCAATGCAGGGGTGACAAAGAATAGGGATGACGTAGTGGGGTGGGACTTTCCTTGGAGCAATGCTATTTCTAGAGAGAGACCCCATTCCTTTGTCTCTCTCTATGATTATTGAATAAACTAATTGGTAAGAACTCTTCTCTGTTTTTCTCTGAGTCTTTTCTGCCAACGTGTGAGGGATCT